TAAGGTATGCATTTTGGACTTCCCCTTTGTTGCTCAGGCTTGCTAATGTCTAACTGCCGGCCAAATTGGAAGTACTTGGAATTGAGAAGCAACTGAAACTCTCGTGCCTGGAAAAAGCTGGCCTAACCAGTTTGAGAGAGAAATCTAAAGGCGAGCACAGTTGAGCCTTTTACAGAAACACGGCGCCACCAGCCCTCCATTCTGTAATCAGAGCTCAGCCTAGGATCACAATTCACCTCCTCTGTGGGGAGCCCACTACTCCATGGGAGGGAGGGGGCTGCAGTTCAGTGCACAGCACTGCCCACCCTGTGCCCAGAAAGTCCCCAGCTCCGGGAACCCCGGAATCCACAAACATACCTTCTCTTCCCCCTGGTTTCCAAACAAGGCAAGCTGCCTCCCAGGACTGTTAAAGAGGACACTGTAATACTGGTTTATTGGAAAAAGATTTTAAAAATCAGATTAAAAAAAGAAAGAAAACAAAACTCACTGTTAGGAAAAAAGGAAGAACAGAGGCAAGAGCTCAACAGTCAGGATAGGTTTTCTCGGTACAAACCTGAGAGGCACTGCTGGTGCAAAGGGCTCTGTCACAGGCTGTGAGGTCTTTTACAGGGCTGTGGGCACGGAGGGGAGGCTGTGAGGTGAAAAGTCCAGTGAAAAGAAGACTCGGCTGTCTGCTCCATACGCCTTGAGAATTGAGGGTGCGTGGCTGTCTGTCGGGAGCAGGGCTGAGAAATTTGATGGAAGTTACGAGGTGAAGCCTCGGTTATTGGGCCTTCATAACCCATAATGATTCATCTTTAGCAGGTGCAAGGCCATAAGGGGATGGAAGAGGCCTAAAGTAGTCTCTGGCCAGCCTAGGATGGCAGCAGTTGGATTCCTTCAGCCACCACTCAGACTGAGCAATTGACTGGTTGATATTCTTTGAGGCAGGGTCTCCCTATGTAGTTCAGGCTGGCCTCGAACTCACTATGTAGCCCAGGCTGGCCTTGAACTTACAGTGACTCCTTCCTCAGCCTCCGGAGTGCTAGGATTACAGGGGCCCATTCAGATTTAATCACTGTTTCAATGTGAACATCTGTCTTCCAAACCTGTTTCCACTCTTTGATTATTCAGGGAGCTGTGTGTGGGGCGGGCGGGCCTGTTTGTTTTCAACATCAAATCTGCTTAAGGTACATGGTTGTATTAGTTGACTGTGAACTCCTATTTCCAAGAAAACACCTAAACCTATTAGGGAAGTCATTTTATAAGCATTTTTATAAAGTACTCATCTATTTTGCTTTTTGCCTCTTTCAATTTACCCAGCTGTACAAAGGTAGGGATGAAAGAAGGGAGAGTATACATAAGGGGGAAAACATGTAAAAATAACAGCAAAAGTCAATTAAAGTTTGAAAACACGAATGTGTTTCAAACCAACTCAGGGATCAGCAGAGGTGGCAGAAAAACCACACGGACCAGCAGTTTTTTGTCCCAGCGGCCAGCAGGTCCTGGAGAGGCCAGGTTGCTCGGTCGTTAAGACTGTAGTGGGGCGCTGAACGCATCGAGGGGACACAGAATCACTGTTAAACAGCGAATGTCCCTAAATCTAATCTCAAATCTGGGGCGGGAGTTGTGTAACCAGGGGAAAAAATGTCAGATTCCGCCTAGCTGTGCTTTGATGTCCCTTTCTACTGGCACCAGGTTACAATTCAGAGCTCGGCTTCGTAGTGTGGACAGGTGATTGTAACTCCCGGCTTGCTTTTGTAGGGCCACATCTGGCTTCACACTTGCTCGCGCATCAGAAACCCATGTCCACCTATCAAGTAGGCGATTAAAACTGAAGCTGACCTTTGTGGTTTAAAATGTAGAAAATCAAAGAATCCGCTAGCCGACCCAGCCCACCCAGCCACTCCGCTCCTACCTTTGCTTGTTCTAAATACTAAATGCGCCTCCGTTCACTGCCGGTGAGTTGTGTGGAGCCGCGAGCTCGGATTGCGCCTGCGCAGGTCCTGTAGAGCAGAGGGCGGGAGCTTTGAACTCGGTTAAAGGGGTGAGAATGGTTTGGGATCCGCTCTTGGAGTCTGTGTTCATCGATCCGTCTCGTGTTTACGCCAGGTTCGTATTCAAGAGACTGAAGGCCCCTTGGTCTGGTTTGTTTCGTACACATTTAATGGGCTTCATAATTATGGGGCACAGGCATTACTACAGGGTCCTGGGAATGTGTTGAAACCCTTGGAAAACTGTCCACCCTGTGTGCTTTTCTGCCCTTTGAATCTTGTACCACCGAGCGTGGAAACCCTGCTGATTTTTTTTCCTTCCGGACAGGGGTCTCAAACTCGTGAAATCCTCCTGCCTCAGCCTCCTGAGTAGCTTGGACTACAGGGGCGCTCCATCTGCTGACTGCATGTGGGCTTTTCTGCTCTTTGAATCAGGTTGCGTTGGACCGGTGTATACCCAAGTTTGGTTGGAAAGCGCGCCCTTTGTTGCTAAACACTGCTGGGAGTCAATTCTCCTATTTTTCTGCCTGGGATCTTTTCGTTCTCATTTCTCTCTCGGTCTCCTGAAGAAAATATGGGTAACACCAGTACAGTTTGTGATGATAGCCCCTTAGGAAGGATTTTGGGGAAATGGTCTGCTTACTGTACCTCTTCCATGACCACAATAACAACAACAACAACAACAACAATATCAATAATAGATCTCTGCAATACTGCTTGGCCATTGTACATGTCAGGGTCCGAGGAGAGAAGGCCAATGAATGGGCCTTTAAATTATTACACCGTCTCCTGCTTGGAACATTTTTGTCACAGGCTGAGACGGCAGATGAGATTCCTTATGTAAGAGCGTTTATGTACGTTCATGAGGAAGGAAAAAGAAAGGGGAGTTTTATGCTCATGGCATCAAGGAAGGAAGGGGAGCAGATGGATCCCCCATTTGGAAATCTGAACATAGCAAGGGAGGGCTGTCCTTGCTTCAGCCAGCAGTGCAGGTCTGGCAGGACAGTCTCGCCTCATAGACCCAACAGGACACCCGGTTTGGCCAGGGGATGTTCCCTCTGGTTCAGCTCCCCACACGAGTGCAACGTCTCTCAGCAAGGACGGCCAGTCAGAGCCTGTGGTGTCGCCATCCATGTTCCCTCTGGGACACAGAAAGGTTGGGAGTGAATTGCCTTCCTCCGAGGGTGACCCGAAGAGAGGAAAGAATTCTTCTGAGGGGCTCTTTGTTGGACAGAACCCAGCCTGGGCAGATGGGCGGAGCTGTTCCTGAACCATCTCCTCACTGTGGATGAAAGGATGCTGGTGATGTGAGAGGTCGCCTCCACCGGGAAAATCCAGCCGAGAACCCAGAACCAATGTTGCCATCCCTAGAGACAACCCTCAGTGGGACCTAAATGGAGCTATGCTCGGGCTGGGTCATCACCAGAGATGCATCCCCCTGGCTTACAGACTGTTGGGCTGGTTGTCCCCTTACAGGGAGGTGACTGGATTGAAGGTATCATTGTTAGTACAAGACATGCACAATGATACATACTATGGATTGAACCCAGGGCCTTTGCACTAGAATACTCACCTAACCCTTTTATTTTTTATTTTTCAGATAGGGTTTTGATAAGTCACTAAGTTGCAAAGGTTAGGCTGAAACTTGAGATCCTCCTGCCTCAGCCTCCCAAAATGCTGGGATTACAGCCATGTGCCACCACACCTAGTTAAGAGAAGCCCTTCTAAAAAACACCTCTGATAGTGAGGTGACTCAGTGGCCCGTACACGGAACCCCAGATCAGCTTGGACGTGGGAATATTGTACCCTTCAGCCAGCCCCCCTCGAGCATGGTCTGATCACTGAACCCCAGTTGAACAGTTTAGGGGAAGCTCTTGGTGGCAGAAGCTCCTGGCATAAAGCTGGCATATTAGGTAACACGAGGAATCTGGAAGAAGAAAGGAAAACCGCTTCCTAGTCAGAGAACAGAGGAGAGCTGGAGCATTTTTTGTTCATCAAGTTAATCTGTTCCACACCTTATCCCTCATCACCCTCTGCCATGCCCCCATCTAGCCAGAAGCACCCAGATGGAGTCAACACCCCTGTTCTAGGAACATACAATGGGACAAATTCACAGGATGTGTAACAGGAAAATTTTAACCCCTTTTAGTTGTGCTTTAATGTCCTTCTGCTATCAGCACTAGGCTATAACTCGCACTGCAGCTGGCTTTTGTAATGTAGATGGGACACTAACTTACCTGGTTTTGTACGGTCACATCTTGCCTTCCTTGTTGCTTAAGTTTTTTTTTGTTTTGGTACTGGGGATTGAACTTGGGACCTTGTGCTTGGAAGGCAGGTGGCAGAACCACTGAGCTAAATCCCCAGCCCTCCCCTGGGCTCTTTTTAATACCGAACCTTCTGCCTTCTAAACACAGACTTCGACACACGAGTATGGAGAATGGCCTCGACCCTGGAAAAGGATGTCTTTAAAAATCTGTAGTGAGGGCCAGGGATTTAGCTCAGTGGTTTTGCTGCCTGCTGCGCAAGCACAAGGACCTGAGTTCAATCCCTGGTACCAAAAAAAAAAAAAAATCTGTAGTGGGCTGCTGGGAGGCGGATGGGCTTTCTGACGTGAGTCCTCGTCACGTGGTTGGCCAAATTTCCTACAAAGCCTGTCTCCTCGCCCCATATGTTGGCTTGTGAGTTACTGGTGCTTGGGTGGGAAGTAGCAGCATGTGCCTCAAAATTCATGCCATGAGCTGCACGTGGTGGTGCACACCTGCCACACCTGCCATCCCAGCATTCTGGGCGGCTGAGGCAGGAGGATCGTCATGAGTTCAAGGCCAGCCTGGGCTACATAGCAAGACCCTGTATATATATATAATTTTTTTTCCAAGTCATTATTCCCAAAGGCAGCTTGGTAGAGTTGAACTCACAAAGCATAGTCTACCATTGCTCTGGGACAAATGCCCCAAATCTTGTGTCTGTTACTTTGATAGATTTTAGAGGGCTACGTATGGTAACTATGTTGGTTTCTTTGACTTACAGTTCAAGTTGCCTTAATATTTGGTAGAAGAACATTAGAATATGTCTTCAGTTTGTGCAAAGGTGAAATCGACTTCCTGGAGCGGCTCTCAGACCACCTGCTCCTGAGCATCATTTCTTACCTGGATCTTGAAGACATTGCCAGGCTTTCTCAAACTTCCTGCAGATTTGCAAAGGTAACAGTCAGTCACTTTGTGTTGATATAGGATTTCCCATAGATGTTCTTTAAATTTTTTTCTTTCCTTTTTGTAGAGCTGGGGATCAAACCCAGGGCCTCACGAATGCTAGACAAGTGCTTAGTCACAGAACAGGACTCCCGGCCTGATTTCTGCATTCATTTTACCTATCATTCACTGAGGGCTGACTTTCTGTAGGCACCATCCTTGGTGCAGGAGCGACAGAATGAGACATCCATGCCATTATTTTAGTGCAGTCTTGAAAAATATCCTCAGTAATTTAGCCAGTGCTGGAAGCTTTCCTAGGTTGCTGGTTTCAGCCCTCAGCGTCCTTGCAGAGTAGAATTATTAGGAGGGGGGGTGGTCAGCTGAGGTTAACCATTTATTTTTGTTGTCAAGCTAAAGTTTTATCTGTGCCCCATTTACCTGCTGTGTTCCTCCATGTATAAATTATTTTCATTTAACTGCTTGTGTTAATTTTTTAAAAGGCTATTGTTTTAACTGTACTATAGTTGTTTTGTTTTTGTTTTGTTGTGTTTTTGGTTTTTTTCAGACAGGGTCTTGCTATGTAGTTCAGACTCCCCTTGAACTCACTACGGGGCGCAGGCTGGCCTCACCACAATCCTGCCTCAGGCTCCTGAGTGCTGGGATTATATTGTGCCACCCACCAGGCCCAGCATATTATCAAATTATTGTGTCCATGGACGACTTTTTCTTCTGATCTCAGAGGGGGAGAACCGGACTCTCACTCAGGGTCGGTGCTACCTGCACCTGGCTCAGGGCTTCACCTGCTTTCCCTCCTGTGTTTGCTGTGGTTATTTTAAACCTTCTATTTATAGCTTTAGACTTAGAAAGTGTTACAAAGGTAATAGAGAGTTTTCATACCCTTCACCCAAACCCCCTGAAGTTAGCATCTTATATAAGCATGGTGCATGAGTCATAGCTGAACAATTAATATTGGTACAACACTACTAAGTAAAGTACAAGTATTATATGGATTTCATCAGTTTTTCTACAGTATCTTTTTGATTGCTGCTTCAGGATCCAATCTAGGTTACTACATGGCATTTAGTTCAGATTTTCTCTTTTCTTTTTTTCTTTTGAGACAGGGTCTCACTATGTAGTCCAGGCTGGCCTCGAACTCACAGAGATCCTCCTGCCTCAGCCTCCCAAGTGCTAGGATTACAGGTGTGTGCCTATAATCCCATACTGGGAGGTCAAATTTTTAACTCTCTTTCTCTCTGTACATCAGTTTTCTCAAATCAGACTCAAACGTCAGAAGACTTCTTGTTGCTGTTGTTGTCAGTGCTGAAATGGAACCCAGGGTCCCACCTATGCCAAACACACCTACCCCTGACCCACACCTCCAGGCCTGGCAAAAACCTCTTAACTCTGTTCTTACCCAGTCTCTCCTCTTAAACACAGTTTACACAGAATTTCACACTCAGCAAACCAGTGTCATCAGTCTGTGACTTCATCATCCATGACAAAATGAGAACAATAAGGGTGATACAGAGAAGTTTTCTTACAGCTGAGCTTATTTCACCAAAGTGCCCGTCTCTATTGGATGTGAGCTGCTTCTGTTTGCTGGAGGGTAAAGGTGTCCCTTCTTTAATTAAATGGTGGGAATCATATATGACCATTTCTAAAAGTTGCCCCTTACTTGGCAAAATTAAAAAGTCAGCAACCTTATTTTGGTTTGTAGTTTTTGTTCTGCTTTGGTTTTTAAAACTTTCAGTGGTCCTGTGACATCTGAAATTCTGAGAGCTGTTAGTCTGTTGTCAGCTTACACCTGCTCTATTTCCTCACCATCCACGCCTCCTAAACCTCCCCGGCCGGGTCCACAGTGACCTCATGGCTGTCACTCCTAATAGCTTGTTCCAGGCCTTCTATTTCCTGACCTGTCTCTGACTCCTGGACTCTTGGTGGCTTTTCTCCTGGCTGGGCCTTCGTTGTTTCAATGGCTGCTCATCCATGCAAGCTCAGAGTGGCCTTTCTACAATGCACACTGATCATGCCCCTCAGTGGCCTTTTTTTTGAGACAGAGCCTCACCATGTAGTTCAGACTCGTCTTGAACTCACTACATAAACCCAGGCTGACCCCAAACTTGCAGTGATCCTCCTGCCTCAGCCTCCGGAGTGCTAGGATTATAGGCATGTGTCCCCATGCCCAGCTCAGTGGCCATTTTAAAGATGAGATTCAGGCCTTTTAACCATGTCTGCAAGCCCAGGGTCCCAGGCCTTGCCTTCTGCAAATTCCTTGCCATTCTTTGTGTACTGGACTCTTTTGTGCTTCTTTGCCTTTGCTTAGGAAAAGAGGAGGAAAAACAAAGGTACAAGCTGAACAGGCCAGGTTTATTTCAGAATGAACCTGAGGAGGACTACCCTGGCTTAGACCAGACCGGCAACTCTCATACAGGGTGTAAGAAAGTACAGTACAGGGAGCGGTGGCTGCCTGTCGGTGGGCCTGAAGCATGATGGGAGTTATGGGTGTAGCTGAGGTTCCTGGGCCTCATTAACCTGTGATTATACATCTTTAGCAGGCGTAAAAACATAGTGGGTGGAAGAGGCTTACAGTCTCTGGTCAGCCCAGGGTGGTGGCAGTGGGACTCCTCCGCTGACTGCATTAGTCTATAATTAGACCTGAGGCTGGGTCACTAAAGAACAGCGTGCACTCTATGCAGTGGTGCACAGCTGTAATCTGTTACTCAGGAGGCTGAGGCAAGAGGGAGGCAGAGGCAGGAGGATCACAAGTTCGAGGCCAGCCTGTGTAACATAGGCTGTCTCAAAGCAAAACCAAACAGGTTTATTTAGCCTGCATCTGTGGCAGACTCCTCAGGCTGTGCAGAGCATCGCATGACAAGGGACAGGGAGCATGAGGGCCTGCTTCCTCTGCTTTCTGTCCACCTTCTCAGCCACACCGGTGTTCACTCCTGGAGCTTCCACCCTGGTGGCCTTCTCTAATGCTGACTGCATCCCAGAGGCCCCACCTAGAAACACTACAGTAGGCTTAAGTTTCCATCACAGTGGGGATTAAATTCCCACACATGAATCTTGGGGGATACTCAAACCACTTCCAAACCCTAGCACTTACATTGTTCCTTTTCTAGCAGTATCCTGATCTTCCACCCCAACCTCCAAAATGCCCCTCAGTGGCATTTGCATGAGCATGTCACACCTTTTCTTGACTTTCACCCCCACCAAGCTCAAGGGCAGTGAGGATCATGCCCCTTTCCTTTGTGTGCTCACCTTAGCAGGATGCCTAGCCCGGTAAAGGAGGGGCTACATCAGCTTTGGTTATATTTTCTAAAAGAATGATTTGCATTACAGTGGTCAGCTTGGAAAAAGCCATTCTTCCATTCCTTGTTCTCTAGTGGGAACCATATGACAAGTGCTATGTATTCCTTCGAGAGACGTCCTGTCCATAGGTGTGTGAGATAAGGTGAGCCCAGCAAGGTATCCAAGGCCAGACCTGACTCCACCGTAGAGCTTGGGTCTGTGGAGAGGGTGGGGCCTCGGCCTTGGAGCTGGTGGTGCTCATCCACAGTAGAGGGTGCAAACGTCTGCTTGTCCTCCTCAATGCCCCCAGCAACCAGGATCACCCAGCAGCCTGCCCTGGCACCGAGTCAGTGTGGACTAAGCCCCATGATGTTTCCCTGGATTATCTGGCGGGGTCCAAGGCTGTATTTTTCAATGGAAACAAAGAAGCACTGCCGGAGGGTGCACCCTGAAAGGCCAGGCCCGTGTCTTGGTACAGGGGTGCTGCGAAGACAGTTCTCTACCTCTCTGACTGAGGCTCAGCTTTGGCCTGAGGCAGGGTCAGCAAGGGGTGCAGCCACGTGGGCCCCTGCTTGAGGGGCCTGCTGGCTGCCCTCAGATGACAGCAGAAACCTCCAGAGTAGCCAGGTGACACGACTGAGTCCCAGACAGGAAGAGGATGGTCATGGCGAGGATATAATTATCGTCGTCCTGCTTGTGACTCAGGAGTAACTGAGGCTGCTGAGGAAGAAATTAGCTCCTGCCACTGTCTGGCTGTGGAGAGAAAGGTGTTCCCTTGCGTCTACAAACTCCGTGTGAATGTGATCCTGAAGTCTGGCCAAGCAGGTGAAGCACACGGCCGCCACCCCCGCAGAATTGGACTTGGGTGGCTGCGGTGGACCCATACCTGTTCTTGCAGTGTTGTGTTTGACAAGCCCCATTCAGCATCTTTGGCCCAGGAATCTGACCGATTGATGTAGAAATTACACCGATAAATGTCTCAGGAAATGCAGTTAGTGGTAGATCTCGTGCTAGCATGTGGGCGTCCCTGGCTTCATTCCCTGCACATCCTCTCCTTCGGCCAAGGAAAAAAGTCCAAAGAGATGATAAAATGCTGGGACTCGATGCTTAGGGTTTTCCTGTCTCCACTACAGAGCGGTGTGGTGCAGTTAAGTCATCACTAACCCAGAGAGCGAGGTTCTTAGCTCCTCCCCACACAAACCCGGGCAGCACCTGTATTCTCTCTGACCCTTAATTTCCCCATTTGCTGAAAGGAGCGGTTTTTATCTAGATAGGCCCTAGCAGCCCTTTCAATCCGTTAGTTAATTTCACGCACCGCCACTAGGGGGCGCTAAGCCCGCAGTTCCTGTGCTGTGGCTTGAAGCAGCGGCACCCACAGGATGGTACCCCGCCTTGTGCAGCCTGGCCAAGTGCCAGGCAAAAGAACCCCGGGAATTGGGAGTCTTAAATTGGGGTATATTTCCTAAGAGTTTCCTTTGTTATAGAGAAAGTAAACTTGGAAGGACTTGAAGGCACAGGAACATAACGAACAGCCAGGCCTGACATCCCAGTTTTGGGGAATAATATTTATTAGTGTCACTCTTTATCCGTAACCTTCATTATGTGAATGTAATGACTGTGGCGTTGATGTTTATGCAGACAGGCTCTTAAGTGATGATACTTTATTACACTGTTGATTTCTATTTGTATTTTATTCTTTTGGCTTATTACAGCATCTTTAGGCTAGATGACGTATAAAAGTAAACAATGCTGGCTGCTTCCCATTGAAAAGAGAGTAGCGGTGTAAGGAAATCAAGACAACAGGAAGAAGCCAGTATACACGGGAACAAAGCAGGACAGAGCCAGCCAGGCGAGGGCTGGCAGCAGTGGAATGCGTGGGGTTTGGGGTTGGGGGTGCATCGGTTGTGAGGGGCTGGGTGTGGGCCAGGCGGGCTGATGCCATGGGCCCTGATGGGGGCAGCAGTCGGCACAGTCAGCTGTCCCGCGGTGGCTGAAGGGATGATCTAATCCCCGGCGCTCAGGAGCCGCTGCAGCTGGGAAGGACAAGCAGAGATGGCGGCTGGGAGGGCAGAAGCAGGCACAGAGCTCAGCCTCCGTGAGTGTAGGTGTGGGGTCGGGCAAAGGCTCAGGTTCCATCCCAGAGCCTAGGCCAACCAAGCTTCCTGTAGGGCTCCCATCTCGGGCTCAGACTCTGCTCCCACATCCGGCCCCGCGGCCAGAGGTCTTGCTCTCCTTCCCCTCAGTGGAACATCTGGGGTGGCTCTCCTGCCTGTCCTGTGCTGTGACAGTATGGGTGAGTCCAGCTCTCTTCAGGCTGGTCTCTGATCTGAAGCGATGGGACATTCTAGAACTCTCTCTGAAAGGAAGGCCAGAATTGCAATTGATACAAGGCTGTGTTTAAATTCAGCTAACGTTTGGGCTTTTTAGTTTCATTCCATCATCAGCACAGAGCACATTGTAGTTCGTTAGTTGTGAATCTGCCTTTTTCAATGTTCCCCATGCCTGGCAAATAAGGTTTTGAAGAAATGTCTCCTTAGATGGGCAGAGAGATGATTTGGTACTTCAGACTCATCTACACGATGAATGCAGAAGAGAAAGTACATTTCCCCGGGCTTAAATTCTTTGAGCATGAATTCATCAGTCACATTGGGCATCATCCACATGGGCATTATTTGTCTTTGCATTTGACTTGTGGTTTTCCATCCTCTAAATCAGTGGCTTTTCCTGGCCTTCCCAGACCCTCAGCCTTAGCAACAGAATGTCCATCTGGCAGCTAATGGCCTGCAAGACCTTTTTTTCTGGTGTCTTCTGAGAACTGGGTTTGGTAACATGCTGTTCTGTCTCCCTTTTCTGCTCACTAATTACCTATATTCCAGGAATTTTACACGTTACGTTTAACTCATATAGCATTAAAGGTTAACTACTGTTTGTTGAATATCTAGTATGTGTAAGCACTGAATGTACATGATCCAAGGTCGTCCTCACAACAGTTATATAGGGTGGCTAGTAGGCACTATCTTGTCCTGATTTTTTTTTTGGTACCAGGGGTCAAACTCGGGTCCTTGTGCTTGCGCTGCAGGCAGCGAAACCGAGCTAAATCCCCAGCCCTGCTCCTGATTTTTTTCAAGTATTGTGACAAGGCCTTGCTAAGTAGTCCAGGCTGGGCTTGATTTGAATTTGCACTCCTCCTACCTCAGCCTCCCAGAACATTAGGATTACAGGCGTGTGCCACTAAGCCCAGTTTAGTCCTGATTTCATAAAGGAGGAGACAGCTTTAAATAAAGCACACAGATAGGAAACACTGGAGCCAGGTTCTGAGCCCAGGCAGTCAATCTCCAAGCCAGTTTTCTGACATCACTTTATTCTGCTCCTCAGATGACCAAATACAGGATCAGGTGTGGAGAGAGGAGCAGAGAAGGTTGGTAGGTACAGGATTACTTAAGTGGCAGAGCTGGGATTCCGATTGAGTATATTTGCTTGTTAACTTGTCTGCTTCAGTACCGGAGAATTTAAGAAAGTTCTGACCTTTCTTAAGAGGAGTTAAATATAGGGATGTGTTGGTTCCCTCAGTCAATAGGCACTGTAGCAACAGGTACCACAGTGACAGCCTGTCGCTTTGCAAGTCTGAGCTTCCTGGCCACGTGGAAGCATCTGTGAGCAGAAAGCATCTGCAAGGCAGGAATGCAGGCCACACACACACACACACACACACACACACACACACACGCACACTCACTCTCCATTCTTATTGTAAAATCCCTCCAGAGTGTTCTGTACTTGCTCTATCCACTTCTGCTGTTTTTCTGCTATGGACTCCCCTTAGCCCAGCGTTCATCCCCACTGTGCCACTGAGACGCTCTTGACAAAGTTGCCATTGCATAATCTAGCAAAATACACCAGTTAGTTTTGTTTTGTTTTCACAGTGCTGGGCTTTGAACTCAAGACCTCATGAAGCTAGCCACCTGCTCCATCCCAGGCCCCGTCAATCAGTTTTTAGTTGGCATCTTCTTTGACTTTTCAGCAGCATTTGACACATTTGATTGCTTTCCAGATTTTCTTCCTGATTCTCAATTTCCCTTGCTGAAAACCGTCCCTCCCTAGCTGCTTCATCACGAGTGTCTCAGAGCTATTCTCTGGGCTAATTCCTCTATCTTCAGTTACATCCAGAGTATTTTTCCTAAGTGAGGGCTCTAAATACCATTGCATACTGATCATTTTGAAACATGTTTCCAGCCCAGCAAGCTCTCTTGGCTTCCTGCTTTCCTTTTAATCTAACTAATGCTCAGCAAGTCCACTTAGGTACGTTACAGCCACCTCAAATGCAACGTGTCAAGACCAGATCTGTTGATTTCCCCACACACTGACCTACTCACCATCTCTCCTCTTCCCACAGTTTTATTTTTCCAAATCATTGGCATCACTAATGTTGTTCAGGTCAAAAACTCATCCTTAATTTTTTTCTCAACACTTCTAATCCATTAACAAATCTTATGAGCTGTACCTTCAAAATATATATACAATTCCACTACTCACTTCCTCCCTTGCCACTGTCCAATACTCATGAGACAGGAGATTCCTTTGAGGCAGAACTGGCTGGGGAAGTAGGCCTGACCTGTTAATGACAAGATCCCAGATACATGCGCAGAACAGTTCCCAAAGCCCTGCATTTGCTTAGTGTGTACAAGGTCCTGTGTTCCATTCCCAGCGTTCCAAATGAAGTGGTACAAATAGCATAAGGAACGCAACATTGGTACAGGGCATCGACCACACCATTGCTACCCTCTGTTGTGTGGGTAATTGGAAGTAAAAGATGCAATGTTGTAGCTGCAGTCATATTACCTGTAACTGTCTTGTATTTTGCCTCCTAAACGAGATCAGGAGCTGCTTTGTTCTACCGATCAAAGATTGCTTTACCCTCTTGCCCCTGGGTATTTGTGTGCTTGGGTCTTTTCCGAAAGAGGTTTCCTGGGGCAGAACCTTGAGCGGAATCTGGCACACCTTCCTGCACAGGTCTGCAGGCAGCAGGAGTGTAATAGTGACTATGCAGGTGAGTGGACGGTTCTAACCCACCTCTGGTTTTGTCCACCTGCAGCTGTGCAAGTCTGACATCCTGTGGGAGCAGATAGTTCAGTCGGCCTGTGACACCATCACTCCTGACATGAGGGCCCTGGCGGAGGACATGGGCTGGAGACAGATGTTCTTCACCAACAAGCTCCAGCTGCAGCGGCAGCTCCGCAAGAGGAAGCAAAGACAGGGAAGCCAGCGATAGACTCTACTTTAGGGACACCTTTTCCTACCCACTGGGAGCTGAGGCATGGCTCTTCTTCCCTTCAGGGTCCGAATCTCTTGTTGCTTAAAAAAAATGAAAATAATTCTGGAGTCATCTGGACAGCCTAGGGGGTTTGCGCACAAATGCAGCAGAACTGAGTCACCAGTGCCTTTCTTGAGCCACCATCACTGTCAACCTCAGATGTCAAAGCTTGGGCCTAGAACACGGGCGGAAAGACAGGAAGCCTCTCAGTTCATTGTCTTCCCAATACCCCTCACCCTGAACCCATAAAAGCTTCTGCTGTGTATATAAATAAATGATTATAGATATCTATTTTATCTAAGCATTTGAAAGGGTAACTGGGCTTTTGAATTTTTTCCTGGTGTCGTGGTGTATTAGTCACTTTCCTGTTGCTGGACAACAATGCCCACAACTTAGGGTGAGAGGTTTAATTTGGCTCATGGTTTCAGATGATTCAGTTCATGGTTAGCTGGCTCCAAGGCAGACACATCATACAGAAGGGCCTGGGACCATGTATAATACTCAAGGTCATGGCTTCATGACCCAGCAGGAGGACCCAGGAAATGCTTTACTAATCCCTTTGGTCACTCCCAAGCGAGTCAAGTTGATACATCAAGCTTAAGGGCCACACAGAGGAGCAGGTGCCGCGGGAGGCGCTTTGGGTGAATGCAGCTGCCTTCCAAACTTTGTTAAGTTTGTATTCAGGGTCCATCCTCATGGGGCAAGGATGCCAGGTCCATCCCCTTTGCGGACCACCTCTGGCCTAGAACATTGCTGGAGAAGTCCAAACCTTGCTGAGAGTATGCTCCCCAGGACTTCCTGTTACTTAATAAGCCTGCTATTTGTGTTTTGGTTCTGTTTTTTGAAACAGGGTCTTGCTATGTATTCCAGGATGGCCTTGAACTCATTATGTAGACAAGGCATCATTTTGAGAAGAGTCATTTAGAGTTTAAAGAAAAAAGGAATATTTTAAATGTCGATGGGATGGTGTTTGCGAAGATCATACATTGATCATTAGAGCTGTTCAACCCAGAAATGAAAAGGCCACTGGAAGAGCACCCAGAGTTAGCTGCTGCTCTGAATTCTCCAAGCAAGGTGCCCATGCCTGCCTATTCATCCGACACTGCTGAATGCCTGCTGGGTGGAAAGTCAACAAAAGAAACCATAGCAGTGCCACTTTCTAATGATTCAGTCGCTTGTCTGATAAAGATTTAGCTGCAAACATGGAGGCCAAGTTAGTATCATCTCTGCAGAGCTACACTGTTGTCTTACACATGGTCAGATCAGTAGATGTGGCTTGTGTTCATCTGGTCTCAGCAGCAAGGAATGCTTGGAAGCAAACAGTGGTGTTGAAACATTCAAAGTGCTGAATAACTTAACTCGTCTGATTGATCCCAAAGCAACCATGTTGATTCTTGTTCTGATGGTACAAAAGCAATGGTGAGTCTATAGTTTGGGTCTAGCTGTGACCCCAAAGCCTCATGCAGTCATAGGTGGGGCTTTTTCAGAGGTAGCTGAATCGAGAGTGTGTGACCATGGGATTAAGGTTGTGTGATTACTAAACCAGTCTGCTGATTGGTTTGGCACCACCCTAACCTCAGTAGCCTAGATAGAGTATGAAAGGGGCAAAAAGAAGCTGCTAAGACCCCTTGCTTGCTCTCACCTGCCTGCTTGCTACAGACAGTTTCTCCTCTGCGATGCCCCTCTACCATGTCACCCTGCCTTGGAGCCAGCTCACTGGACTGAAACCTCTACAAACTGTGAGTCACTTGAACCTTTCCTCCTTTAACTTTTGGTGTTGGGTATTTTGTCTTAGGAACGATAAAAGTAAGTGGTAAAACTGCTGATGCCTTAGCTGGAGTCAAAGCAGTGACCCCAAAAGAAACCAGGGTCATGATATTCTTTACCACTGTGCAACTGCAGTCTAACAATAGCCAGATTTGCTTACAGATATCCTTAATGAAACAGTAAAAGCCATTAACTTTCCTTAAGTCTTTACCCTTGGGCTTATAGCTCTTTAAAATTCTGTACGGCCAAATGGGAAGTAAGCATAATGCAGGCCTGCCACAAATCTCACGGCTTCTCTTGAAAAGCAGCCATGAGACTGAGCCACAAGCTGATCTGCTTTCTCCATGAAACGCCGTATTTATGTTTGGCAGACACGTTGTTGAAAACGAGGCTGACTCTTTAAGGAAAACAAGTGCAGTATTTGCTGGCAATGATAATATTCAAGCTTTCAAAAGGAAATTAGAATTTTGGAGAACTTACATCAGCCTCCATCCACTTGTCTAGTTTCTAGTACCTAAAGTATTTTTAAGTGGTAAAGCACTTTTCTAAAGAGATTGGTGGTGACTTTACCACATCCAATTTCTAAAACATTGAAATATAATCTGCAGATCATCAAGTTCACCCTTGTGAAGGTTCAGTGGTTCTCATTTGTTCACAAGGTTGTGCAGCTCTCAGCATTCTCTGGTTCTGGAACATTCTTAGCACACCAAAAAGAGACTGGTACTGGCTGGCAGTCATTCCCTACCCCTCTCCGAGCCCCTGGCCACCACATTCAGTCTCTGGATTTGCCAATTCAGGACAGACATTTCACATAAATGGAACAACTATGATTTTTATATGCACAGTAATGGATATAAAATATTGTCTGATATCAAAACATTTGGAAGATCAACAAACTCAATGAACCAGTAGTTTCAATGGTTTTTTTTTTTCTTCTTCTTCTTCTTCTTCTTTCAGACAGGCTCACTATGTAGTCCAGGCTGGCCTGGAACTTGTGGCGATCCTCCTGCCTCAGCCTCCCAAGTGCTGGGATTATAGGCATGTGCCACCATGCCTGGTCCAAAGCATATGTTACAAAATTATAGACAAGCTAAAGATCCCCTCAGAGTGTAGGTTAAATCACTTAGTGTGTTTTTTGTCTCTCTATGTAGCCCAGGTTGGCCTTGAACTTGTGATCCTCTTGCCTTAGCCTCTCAAATGCTGGGATCACAGGAGTGCACCACCACATCTGGCTTTAAATCATTGAATCCCCCCTCACCCATACTAGGGATCAAACTCAGGACCTTGCACTTGCCAGGCAGGCACGGTGCCACTGAGCTACATCCCTGGCCCTAAATCAATGAATTTTAATGTAACATTGTACAAGAAACTCATTAACATGGTCCCAGATTCCACTAACTTTTAGGAAATATAATTGTTGAGTGTGGTATGAAAACTACATTTATGTATATGCATAAGCAAATATGAGGATCCAGCTGTCTATTAAAATAGACATTAATGAAATTTTCAAAAAGATGTAGAACACAGCCACTATTCTTCCTAATTTTTTAAAAATATGCTTTTCATAAAAAGTTACTGATATTAACCATAGAATCATTATTATTATTATTTATTTATTTTTGGTACCAGGGATTGAACTCAGGTCCTTGCAGTTGCGCAGCAGACGGCAAAACCACTGAGCTAAATCCCAAGCCCTAGAGTCATTATTTTAAAATAAAATAATATATAAATATTTTAAAACTTATTTTTGATTTCCAGTGTAAATATCACTGGTACAGCATGCAAAACCAAAATATCTTTGGGTCCTCATTTTTTTCCCTTTTCTTTGGTTCTGGGGGTCGAACCCAGGGCCTCCCTGTACTAGGCACGCACTGTACCATGGAGCCACCCCCGCACACTGGTTTTTAAAGGTATAAAGACTTGTGACCCAAGAGTTTGAGGACTACACGTTTAGCACTTGTAGTCTGCCTTTCATTTGACAAGGGGTTATTCCTAGTGATAGTTCTTTGTTTTTCAAAATGTCTCTGCATTTTTATCGATTACAGTTTCATTTAAACAGGTTATGAGTCAAATTTCCCTTAGCTTTGTTGTGTTTGTCACTCTTGGTGGCTGTAATAGTAGCTTACTGATAGCATGCAGGCTACTCAAGGACAGGGACTTTGTACCAGCCTGCCTTGACCTTGAGCTTATAGAACCCTCGTTTACTTCTCTCTCTCTCTCTTTTTTTTTTTTTCCGGTGCTCGGGACCTTGCACTTGCAAGGCAAGCAGCGGAACCACTGAGCTAAATCCCCGGCCCTACCCCGCCCCACCCCCATTTAATTTTCCTGATCGAAAGAAGCCGCGGCAAGCAGAAAGACTCGGTAGAAGCAAAGTGTTATACACCGTGAGTGCTCCACAGATAGTAACTGACCCAGACGCTGCGTGAAAGGACATAAGGAGGGTGTCAGGACAGGTGTTTGAAACTGATGGCAAGGTTGGGCTCTTAAATATGGAGAGAAGAGTCTCCAACTTTAGGGAACATAACAACGGATGAACTTTCAGATAAGGCAGATATTCACCGCACTCCCCGAGGTTCTAATTCTGTGTTATCAGTCCCGGAAGTCACATTTACAGCAGTTTTGGATGCCCACCTTGCCCTCAGATCTTCCCGGGGGCTGTTAGTCATCTTGTGTTTTAATCAGCTTTCTCGTTACTGAAACTCAGTTCCTGCTGCCCACAGTTTAAAGCAGGACAGGTTTAATTTGGCTCAGGGCCTCAGCGGGCTGAACTCATGGTGGGCAGGCATCATGGCATCATGTTAGGACGGCCCAGGAAGCAGAGCAGAGGGACAGCGCCGAGAGGAAAGGCCCAGGGATGGACAGGCCCGAGGCCGTGCCTCCCGCCCTGCCCAGACACCCCCGGAAGTGCGCTTCGTGAATCCGGTGGCGTTCAAGCCAATCAAGCTGACGCAAGTATCTTACCCATTACAGCTACTCATTTTCTTCCTAGACGCGTTCTATACATACATAAGCTTTTATATGTATGAATGACCTTTTGTTTTGGTTGCTAACAAAAACATAATTGTGAGCACATTAAACATATTATTCCATCTTGCTTTTTTTGTGGGTCAAGAAGAAAAAAGACTAAAGACTGTTTCCTAATTCCACTTGTGGACTGATCTTGTTTTCCCCCAAATAATTACAGACATTTCACTGTGTAGTTAGTTATACTGAGATGGTCAGGGACACGATGAGGATGGAGGACAAACTCACTGCTGGGCCTTTCATGGCTTACTCATTAACTTCTTGGATTTTGTTTTGCAGCTGTCAGGGACCTGAAGCTGCTTTTGGGGAAACAGACTCTTTACCTGGGCCTACAGATGGCCAATGGGTAACTCCAAGCAGAATAAAGTTTGACCATTATTTTGCCTCTGTCTCCTTTGGTCAGATCCATACTCAGCTTCACATACAAGCATACTGATCGTTTAGGGAGTGTTTCTAGAAAGCTGGCAATGCAGGGTTGACTGGTCCTACATTTACATAACCTGTCTCCTCCTCATCAAGATAAGGGATCGATATCGATAGGGACCTTCAACTACCAATAAGCACTCAGAAGTCTCCAGTCATTGCCTTAACCGATGATGATGAACTTGGATTCCAGCAGTCGCTGCAAACCTGAGACTGCTCTAAGCAGAAACAGTCATAGCACGGAGCCAGGATTAAGTGATGAGAACATCTCCGAAGCTGCCTTGCAAAATAGAACGAAGACTGATGTAGGACATGAAATATGAAAATATTATATCTTCTTGCCTATTAGATGTCTGATATGCTGAGTTTGTGTTCTCTAAAATCAAAGAATGAATTCCAGGAACAACGGAGGTTAAGAGTAGGAAAATATTTATTGAGAGGATAGCCCCTGAGAGGCAAGAGGGGACCCCAATGGGTACCCAAGGACCCCACTTTCCAGGGAAGTTTTATAGAGCAAAAACCATGTGGGTACAACGCGGGTTATGACTATGATCAACCAATAAGGTTACGAGTACAGTCACTTAGGTAATAGTGATCCAGTGGGGGAACAAATCATGAAACAAATGTACATGGAAAGAACAAAGACTTTTTCTAGGAAATGATGGATGGGGAGGTCTTCATCACCGGGGTTACTGATATCTATCTAGACTTCATTAGGCTCAGGGTTTGTCTTTTGAGGAAGTATGCAGGCCTAGTCATTTCCTCTTTATCTTGAGGCCTGGTCTCCAACAGATGGCCATGGCTGTAATGTGTTTTACCTTTGTCCTGACTTTCTCTAGGGCCTAGCTCTGTCTGACTGCCTGTAATATTTCTACCTAACTTCGCTGTCTATAAAAAGACCACGATCAGCCGGACGCTAGGCCACCCCAGGTGGTCCGTTCCTTGTTAACGGGCCAATCTGACCCTCTCCATAGGAGCTTCAGCTGTCAGGGTGGAGTCCCTTCCCTACTTTCTCTCACTTCCCAACTCTGCCTAATAATCACGTGTCTCTCACAGGCACACCCTGAAATGCTTTTCTGTAAGTGTCAAAAACCTGCCCAGGTTGAGCTGAGGTCCTATCCCTTCTTTGTCACCTTGGAACCCATCCGATGACAATACCATACTTTACCGTTTCCCTGTTGGCAGACATGTAATTTTCTCCAGTCTTTTAGATAATAACTGGTAAGGCAAAATTGTCTTCATTTGTTTATTCACATGTAGAAAAAAATTTAGAAATGCAATAGCTGGATTAAAATAGAACTGGATGTATTTTTTTATATTAAAATCAAATCGCATTTGGATGTGTATTTTCAATTTAACGTTTGGATTTGACACTGTTTAAGTCTCATGGACAAGAGTTTTTATTCTTTCCCTCAATCTTGCCATAACCTTTTAATACATTTAAATTAAATGAAAAATTTGAACTTTTACATAATAGACTCAATACTTGAGTCATCCTAGGTGATTTTCTCTGGGTAGTTCTACAACCACAACTGTTTCAGATAAAAGAAAGAAACAGATAATCATGAGCTATATTTTAGGAGTGCTTCCTTAATAATCCCCCCCTAAAAAACCCTGATTTTTATTTATTTTAAAAATGTTTTCTTCTTTTGGATTTTTGAGACAGGGTCTCACTTTGTAGTTCAGGCCGGCCCTGAACTCACTATGTAGCTGAGGGCTAGCCTTGAACTCAAGGCAACCCTCCCGTCTCTGCTTCTCAAGTGCTGGGATTACAGGCATGCTCCACCACGCCTGGCCCTAACCCTGATAATTTATACAAAAACTCACTGATCACCTTTAAAGAGGACAAACTTTATTTAGATATATGTAAATAAAAAAATCACTTGGGAATATGAGGAGAAAACCATAAAGCACATGATATAAATATACAATTAAACCTTTATGATATCTTCAAAGAACTGTATAATAACAAACAGGAAATACTTGCTGTAATTCTTCGCATTATTCTGATGTCAACATGAATATTGCAAGCAGGTCTTACTCTATTTTTGTAAAAAGGGAACTTCTACTGATTCGGTAGGAGTCACCACTTCCATAAATACAGTAAGTCACTGAACTGTACAAAGTGACCGTGAGCAGGTCTGACTTGGATGTAATTAAAGCTGGGTCAGTTATGATGCATACCTGCCAGTGTGAGCATCCGAACACAATAGCACCATTCAAAATATTTAACACTGCCTCCTGTTAAGTTGGTGTTGTCAGAAAATGAAAGTAGTGAAGTTTTAAAACACACAATATGTCTTTCAATCTAATCCCCCCAATGTTTCAGTAAATACACATAGCATTGCCTCAGCTTTTAAGATTACTTTTATCAAAACAGAGAGCTGGCTTCTTTAATAGTAGTCAAAATTGTAATGATAACAAATAGGTTGTTGTGTTAAACCAGATAGCATATGACATGCGATTTATTATCTACAGTAGTTTACAGGCAATTCTCAAGTCATTGGAGGTAATGGTGTGTATATTAGCCAGGCTTTTGTTTTTCCTTCCCATTAGCTGCCTTTTATTATTGTTATTTTGGTCCTTTCATTACACATCCTCCCACTAGACCTCAGAGGGGGGTAAATAATGGAGATGCGCAAAAGGAGACTTGTCTGCTTAATCACTTGTAAACAGCTCAGAAGGGCTTGCCAGAATCCAACTGAAGCTGCTGGCTAACATTAGGTGTGGGGTAACATTCTGTGGTCCCAGTTCCTAGTAGCATTCCTATTCTAACTGCCAAAGATAACTGAGTGGTGACAAATACATTCATTTTAGACGAGTTTAACCCCACACACTACTGTGACATTAAAGGATTTTTTTTTTTTTTTTTGGTACTGGGGATCGAACTCAGGACCTTACGCTTGCAAGGCAGGTGGTGGCACCACTGAGCTAAATCCCCAGCCCAAAGGTTTTATTTTGTGGAAGAGCAAATCCTAAGTAGAAATTTATTTATGTTTTGCGGTGCTGCAGATGAAACCCAGGGCCTTGTACCTGCTAAGCAAGTGCTCGCCCCCCAAGCTACACCTCCAGCCCTATAAGAAGACATTTAAATAGTTTTAACATAACATGTAAACAAGTAAGGCAGCTAGAAATTTCAAAATGATTCTGCGAAGAACATTCTGCAGTCTGAAAAGTGTTTGGCTTAGAAAAATAGACATCTCAGATAAAGGAGGGTATTTGACGACGTGGATCACAGTCATCTCATGTAAGAAGTCAATGAAGAGAAGTATTTTTAGAACTGTGCTGAGCTCCAGCAAGTGAATGATCCAGGCAACAACAGAGACATTGGAAACAAGCTATTTGTCACCACTACCCCAAGGCCTGGGGCACTGTCATCTAGAGCAGGAGCATCTACTTATTATCCTCACTCTCGGACAGTCTCATGATTCAGATGAGCAACATGCCTTTCAAGAGATTTAACTACTCACTTTACATATCACCAGCAATTAGTTCTACAATCTATTTATTGGGCAGGTGAAACTTGGAAAATATTGTTCAAGGCCTCTCAGATCACACTAATACTCTAAGACAGAGGCCAATGATATGAATAAAAATGCCTGAATCATAGCCCTTGATTCAACGGATGTGTATACAAATACAGCTTCTGTTAAGGAAATTATTAATAGTATTTACTTGTTAAAGTTTTATCTGAAGATTCAGTTTATTACTGGATTCATCTTTTATTACTGTATAATTGAGTTAGAATTGATGCCATACACCATCTGATAGAGGAAGATCGATAAATCCTCCTGCAGGATTCTTTCATAAAAATATAAACTGTGTTTCTTTAATTGTACCAAATTGTATTGCGTTTGGAATTGGAGCCTGCCTTTGTATTATACAGGTAGATCAAGAAGTCCTTGTAATAGTTATTTCTGAAATCCAGTCACAGTCTTGTGCTTGAAACCCATTTATCTGTATGCTTTCTGAAAGCATGCAGATACTTTACAAAGAAGTAGTTGAGTTGAAAAGCTTTTATTCCCTGTCTATGTTTGTAGTTAAAGCCCTAATCCCAGTGGATGATGAGAGAGAGTAGGTTTTGCTGTTGTTGTTTAATCAGGGTTTAACCACATAGCTCAGGCTTGCCTTGAACTAACTTTGTAGCCCAGGCTGGCTACTTGCAGTGATCCTCCTGCCTCAGCCTCCTGAGTACTGAGATTATAGGAGTGCATCACTGAGCCTGGTGAGAGAGAGTAGTTTTGAGGGCATTTCTACCAATTGTTTTAAAGGCTGTAAACACTGTTGTCTCTGAAAACTAGTTTTTAAAACCTTCTAGCACTGCCTCTCCCCAGACCAAGAGGTAGTGCTGCTTCCAAATGAAGCAGGGACAGTGGCCTTTCTGAGGGATGCTGCCCTTCATCAGTGGCTCCTCACAGCAGCCATGGGAGGTAGGCAGGAGTGCCACAAGGCCGTCCACAGGGCCCCACGTGGCACTAGACGTGTGTGCTGTCTGCACGTCCTCTCCTGGCTTGATCTATCATCTGGACACAGGGCTGGATGAGTAAGGAGAAGATCCCTACCATGTAGAGCAAGCCACAGATGTAGAAGGAAAAATCATACTTCTGTGTGATGTCGTAGATCCACCCTGTGAAACAAAAAAGAATATACTTAGTGTGAGACACTTGATAAAGCTTGAGAACACAAAGGAGGAGCTTACCACTATTACAGATTTTTTTTTTTGGTACTGGGGATCGAACTTGGGTCCTTGTGCTTGTGCAGCAGGTGGTGAAACCACTGAGCTAAATCCCCGGCCCTATTACAAATATTTTTATAAGCATTTATTCATTACATATTTGTTGGGCTGGTGGGCTGAAAGGAGGCCTGGTCAGGTGATGTTCCCCCCAAAAAATACAGGCATAGAGCAGAGATTATAAAAAGCAGGAACCAAACTTTTTAATTTCTAGCATCAGGGCAGCACCAGAGCATGAGTTGGGGCTGCAGCACTAGAGCTCAAGAGCTGCATGTCTTTATCAGCTTTTCTGAGACACAGTAAGACAATACAGCCATGCAATCTTGCATAGCCATGTGATCATGTGTGGTCATCCATGCTGATTTATTATCATAACAGTCTATTGTGTGCCTGCACTAAACGACAGGGTTGTGTCCTCAGGTGCCCTCAAGCTCCCTCAGACATCCGAGCTTTCACACATCTCACAGTGGCCTCCTACAGTATTATTATCATTGCTATTATTTTGCAGAGCTAGGGATGAACCCAGGAGTAAGCACTGAGTTCTATGCCTAGTAAATAGCCATTTTTTTTCTTTTTCTCCTTTCTTTCTTTCTTTTTTTGGTTATTTAAGTCAGGGTCTCGCTATGTAGTTCAGCCTGGCTTTGACCTCGCTATGTAGCCCAGGCTGGCCTCAAACTTGTGGTGATCCTCCTTCCTCAGCCTCCTGAGTGCTGGGATTACAGGTGTGCACCACCAGACCCAGCTTGTTGTCTATTTTGTTAGACAAGGTCTCAAATAATAATAATCAGTCTCATTATAGCCCAGATTGGCCTTGAACTTGAGATCCTCCTTCCTCAGCCTCCAAGTAGACAGGATTATAGGCATATACTACCATACCCAGATCAAATAATAATTAAATATTATAACCTAACACATTAATATAATAATCCTATTAGGCTACTACTAGTACTATATATTACTACTATAAATTGCATGGATTGTAAGACATTGATCTATAATTATTTTGTATATGAGTGTGAAAGAAAAATCTTTGTCAATTCAAATATGACTCTGTTTTTTTGACTCAGGGTTTTTTAAGGGCTTTGTAAAATGCACTGTAATCCTAGAGATGTTAAAATGTGAAAAACTGTGTCCCAGTAACTATGAAATATATTTATATTATTTGACTGATTAATTCTAAGAATCAGTCTCATGCCAAAGTTCCCACACAGCCAATGACACCAACTGAGAGGGCTGAGCTACACTGGAGAATTAAAAAAAAATTTGTTTTGTTTTGTTTTTATTTTTGGTACTGTGGATCAAACTCAGGATCTTGTGCTTGTGAGGCAGGCAGTGGCACCAATGAGCTAAATCCCCGGCCCGTGGAGAATTTCATTTATGGAAAAATGTAAATTTTGATTATTCACTTTTCCTACTTTGTGTTTTGCTTTGTGATGGGGTCTTGCTATGTCGCCCAGGCAGGTCTTGAACTCCTCTTGCCTCAGCCTCCTGAGTGCTGGGATTAAAGGTGTGTACCACCATGCTGAGCTAAAACTTTACATTTTAAAAATTTATTTTTAACCAATCAGCACAAGCCATACTGAATTTTATGGCATTTCAAATGAATTTCTCTTCCTCTGCAAGCATGCTGCTCCCCCTTCAAGGCATTCCCTTCCCTCCTCCCAGCCCTCTCTTTTCTCTACAGCACACAGAAAATACCCATTAATTATATTACATATTACAGCCTTAAACTGAATTATTTTTAAAAATCTTGCACCTTCCCTCTAAAAATGTGAGCATTTCTAAAAGCATCTCCATGTGGCCCAAGCTTGAAAAGTAACTCATACATTGATTTTTTTGTCATTCTGGGGCTTGAACCCAGGAGTGTTCTACCACTGAGCTATATCCCCAGCCCTTTCTATTCTTTTGAGCCAAGGTCTTGCTAAGTTGCCTAGGCTGGCCTTGAACTTTCAGTCCTCCTTCGTCAGCCTTCATGTGTCATTTTCTTTTGGGGGGGGGTACCGGGGATCGAACTCGTGTCCTTGCCCTTGTGTAGCAGGTGGCGAAACCACTGAGCTAAATCCCCAGCCCCATGTATCAATTTTTTAAAATTGCACTTAACTTCAGCAAACAATTTAACATGGTACAAGTTGTAGGAGGCCTTTGTCCTGCACACATTCAGAAGAGGTATTCCTGCCAGAGAATATGAGGATAAAATGCCTGGAGATGCAGACAGGAAGGAAGAAGGCTGGGGGGACAGGTGACACTCTGCAAGCTTAGCTTGCAAGGCACAGAAAAATTCTGATAGCTCCGACAATCCTGGGCCCTGACTGCTGCCCTGACAGCCACCTCCAGAGTGCATCTTTGTTGATGTTTGGCCCCACTGCCTGCCACACATGAGGGTTCCTGGATCTAGTTCTTGGAGAGAAGATGGACCCTGTCACCTTTGTCCGGTACCTGGCATCTTGGGGATTGAGTCCACCTGCCCAGCCCAGACTTGCCTGTCCACAAAACCTAAGCCTGAGACAACAGGGTCAGGGAGGTCCTGGTCCAAACGCAAGGCACCAAGGTGCCACGACTCTGCTCTGGCCACGGCAAGAAGCAGATTCTCTGGCGAACTTAAGTGGTGCCTTGGGAGAGACTTTGCCCAGACATCACCGGCTGGCGGAGGGCAGAACGTTCCCACCCCCAAGGAAGCCCAGGCCAAATCCCTGGATCTAGGGGTGTGTGAGCTCACATAGAAAACGGATTTGGAGATGCAGATGTGTTGCAGGTGAGACAGGGAGATGATCCCCGACCACCCAGCAGGGCCCATGAAATCACAGACATTCTTGTCTCAGGTCCAGAGAGAGACAGGAAGTGACACACTGCTGGCTCAGCAGATGGAGCAAGGGCCACAAGTTACTTAACACAAATCTCTAGGCAAGGGATGCAAGCGAAGGAGCTGGGAAAGGCCAGGAAATGTATTTCCAGCCAGAGGTTCCAGAGGGCAGGCAGCTCTGTCCATGCCTTCATTTTAACCCTTTTGGACTTCTGACCTCAATGGCAGTTAAGGCAATAACACTGAATAGTTAAGCCACTCTGTTCATGGTCATTCATTACAACTGCAACAGGAAACTAACACAGGGCTAGATCCAGCTAATAGATGCCTTCTGTTAGACCGATATGCAGTGTTTTGAAAATCTGGAAATGCTGCCTAAGAGTCCAGATCCTGAGCTTATCTTGGTAAAAAACAATAACAGCAGAAGAACTGGCAACAAAGTCTCTGTATTTCTTATATTTATTTATTTATTTACAATACTAGGGATTGAACCCAGAACAACTGGGTCCCCCAGAGCTGGGCCACTAAATTATATCCCCAGTTCAATATTTCTTTCTTTTTCAAGTTTATGTATTTACTTTGTGGTGCTTGGGCTTGAACTCAGGGTATGACACATGCTAGGCAAGCGCTCTACCACCGAGCTACACCTTTAGCCTGATGCTCAGCCCCTCTTGGAGATAGAGATTAGCTGGACCCAGGCAGAGATAACCTTGTTCAGGCAGAGCGAGGGCCCCTCAGTGTCCCATCACTGGCATCTGCTTTATGTCCTTATGCTACCATGAGGCTAAGGATCAAAAGTTCATCTCCATTCTGCATGGAAGGATGACCTTTAACTTGCTAAAATTTATAAACAAGAAGTTAGGGGGCAAGAATGGGAAGAGAAAAGAAGCACCTAGACCAGTGAGAACCTTCCTTCTCCTGGACTTCACGACATGACAGGGAACTCACCTTACTTACTGCACAGGCTCTGAGCGCTGAGCGTCTTGGAAGCTTACCTGCAAAGGGCGGGCCCAGCAAGGCAGAGACACCGTTAGCGCAGATGATGATCCCATAGGCATTGGCCAGGTGTTCAATGCCGACCAGGTCCTCCGTCACCACGGGCATCAGGGAGAAATACCCACTGGAGAACCCGATCAGCGCACAGACGATGGCCAGGCCAGTGTAGGTATGCATCAAAGGCAGAATAAAAATGCTGAGGACCAGAGTGAAGTTGGCTATGAGGAAGACATTCCAGACGCTGATGCAGGGCAGGTCGGCCACAAAGCCCAAGCTCACTTTCCCAAAGATATGGAGTATTGCTATAATTGAAGTCAGGGGGAAAACATCATTTTGCTCCGTTAAGTTATACAAATTGACTATTTCTGGGAGGTGGATGAAAGGGATGACAAAGCTGCTGTAGGCAAACAAAGCCCAGAAAATAAAGGCTACAAACATCCGATTAGTAAAGAGGGAGGCTGTCCCAAAATAGCCTGAGTACCAGTCCCGGAAACCCTTCCGGACCAGCAGGGTGATCTGGCTCACGCTCTTCAGAACTCGGAGGGCGCACATGTTCTCTGTGGGCCGGGCCTGACCTCGGCACTCCTGGTCTTGAAGGTTGCAGAGGTTCCCCTCGTCCCTGGGCACGCTGTCTTTCTCCTCTGCACTGCCCAGTTGTTCACTTGACTTGACAGATTCCATGGAGGGAGCTGGGATTACTCGGGGGTCTTCCCCTGCTGAGTGATCTCCATCTTTCCTGGGAGAGAGGGGCCTCATGAGTGCCCCGCACACACACAGGTTCAAGGATACGGCGCCATGGATGAACATGGCATTGCGCCAGCCATACTCTGCGCACAGGTACTTGAGCAACGCAGTCATCAGGAACGTTCCGAACCCTGTCCCCGTGGTGCTGAGTCCCTGGGCCAGTGCTCGTCTCTTTTGGAAATACCTTCCCACCATGACCACTGCAGGCAGGTAGGCCATGCCACTGCCAAGGCCTACAGGGGGATGAGAAGAAATGTGCACAGTACATCGGTGAACAAGGCATGGATACAGCTGTTTAAAGATCCCTCACTATGACCAAACACCCGAGGAAATCAACTTATAAGGTGGAAAGGTTAATTTTGGCTCAGGATTTCAGAGTTTTCAGTCCATGGTTGGCTCACTTTGCTGCTTTTGGGCCTGTGGGAAAGCAGATAATGAGGAACACGTGGTGGAGTAAACTTGCATGCCTCATGGAGTGCAGGAAGCAAAAAAAAAAAAAGAGGGAGAGACCACGCCCCCAATGACCTAACAGCCTTTTGCTAGGCCCCACCTCCTAAAAGTGCCACCACCTCCCAATAGCACCACAGGATGGGGCCAAGCCTTCAACACATGGGCCGGTGGGGGACATTTAAGATCCAAACCATAACATCTGCATTCCCTTATATTGGTGTCCAGCCATACTTTTTCTAACAGAGGAATAATGGTGACTGTGAAAAGAAGCTCTGAGGAGAAGCACCAGGAAGGCCATGAGCACAGGCTATTTTAGCTCATCATTTCCCCTCAGGCTTTGTGGCCAAGGTGCCTCCGCCCATGAGAACAGAAGCTATGGGTGGACAGGATAGGCTGCAGTGTCAGCCCTGCCAGGCCCAGGACACAGCCTGAACTTGGTGGTTGAGGAAAGAATGAATGGCTGGTCCAAAGGCTGTGCTGTCTTAGCCTTGCTGGTTGCACTGTGGGCCCAGGAAAATGCTTATGTCCAAGGGAATGAGGAATGACTCGGGACAATTTACAGAAGCCTAGGAATGGGCCAATTGGTTCCCAAGTCACAGCTGGAAGAATAAAATACACAGGACTCTTACACAGATAATTCATGTCAAGATTATGACATAATTCTATTTTCATCTCTGATTTTTAAAGCTATCTGTAGAAAACAGGAAGAGTTATTTACATCGGCAAAAATGAGATGCTGGTGGGGAAGATGGTTTGTGTCTGGGAGCAAGGGCTGTACGGGACCCTCTGTACTTTCCACTCAATTTTGCTGAGAACTTATAACTGATCTAAAAAATGAAGTCTACTAATGATATAAAATAAAATAAAATAAAATAAAATGTTCAGTGGTGCCCACACCACATATCCAATTTTAAAATGAAACCCTCCTGCTGAGTTACCACCCTTACTCCCAATTTTACCCTATTCTACCCTTTTTTTTATTATGGTTCAGATCTAATGCCTCCTGTGTTTGGACGGTGATTGGATTAAGGGGTACTATAGCTGATTTGCTGTTAGGAGGTGGGGCCTTTGTGGAAAAGGAGGGCTACTGGGGATGTGTGATAGTTAATTTTGATGTGTCAATTTAAATGGATTAAGACATTCCTAGTGGATTAGTGTAGCACAGTTCTCAGTGTGTCTGTGGAAGACTGACATGTAGGCCAGCAAGTTGAGGAGGGAAGACCCACCCCGGATGTGGATGGCTCCAATAGGCTCATAGCCTGGATGGAATAAAAAGGGAAAGAAGAAGGGAGTCTTTGAAGAAGCTCTGTACTTCACCATTGCCTTTGGATGTTCATCTCTAGTTCTTTCAGGCTCTTCAGCCTTCCCATGCAGACCCTGCAGCTTGGAACTCACACCAGACTGTGAGTGAACCCTGGGGCTTTGATCTTCTGTGCTATTCTGTGGGTCTCCACCATGCAGACAGCCATTTGCATTCTTCCACCCCTGATTCCACAGGCAGCCATTGTAAGCCTCCTTAGTACATTTTTTTTGGTACCGAGGATCAAACTCGGGACCTTGCGCTTGCAAGGCAGGCAGAGGAACCACTGAGCTAAATCCCCGCCCCTAAATCTTTTTTTTTTTGTTTGAGACAGAGTCTTGCTGTGTAGTCCAGTCTGGCCTTGAACTCATTATGTAGACCAGGCTGTCCTTGAACTCACAGCAGTCCTCCTGTCTCAGCCTCGCAAGTGCTGGGATTAGAGGCATGCATCACCATGCCCGGCTCAGTAAATCCTTTGTATCTCACACATGTAACATTATATTAAATCTGTTCCTCTACTGAATTTAACTGATACAGGGTGTGACCTGGAAGGGTATATTTCCCTTCCTGGCTCTTCCCTTGACTCTGTCTCTGCTCCCTGCCTGACATGTCATAAGCAACCCTCCTCTGCCACGCCATCCTGCCTTGGAGCCAGCAGACTAAGGACTGAAATCTCTACAAACCATGTGCCAAAATAAACCTCTCTCCACTTAAGTTGGGTATTGCGTATTGTGTCTCAGCAATGAGAATTACCTACGATGTTTCCTATGGTACTTAGTCATATGATTTACTTATTTATATGTGTATTGTTACAGCCTTTCCCCACTGTCCCTTTGCTAGACTGTAAGCCCCAAGGACAGGGATCTTCTGTTTCATTTACTGTGTCTCCTCAAGTGCCTCGAACAGTGCCTCATGCATAATACATGACTGCAAGAAAGTTCTATGGCAAGATAAAATGGTCATATTTTGAGATAATAGCAACCATTTTCAGATAAGACTAGTTTTACATTTCCAAAGTTAAGGTATAAAACTTTGGCTGCAAGATGTGTTACACGTCAGGCATGGTGGTGTGTGCCTGTAACCCCAGCACTCTGGACAGAGATGGGAAGATCACAAGTTCCAGCCCAGCCTGGACAATTTCAGAGACATAGCGAACCCTGTCTCAAAAAATAGAAAGGAACTGGGAATGCAGCTCAGTGTGAAGACCCTTGGTTCAGTTCCCAGTACTAAAAGAAGGGGGGGAGGGGTTGCATGTACAGCTACTATAAAACCAATTAAAGTCATCATCATTAACAGGGATATGTTCTCAGAAATGTGTTGCTAGGTGACGTCACTATGAAACCATCATAGAATGTATTTACAAAAACTAAGGTGGTTATGATGTCACTAGGTGGTATGATCTTTGGGGACCCCTGCCATACATGTGGGACATTATTGACTGAAATGTCATGATGCAGTACATGGCTGTATTTGTTAGAGACCCAACAGATTCTTTGATAGTAAACATTGTGGCACAGTATCGTCACCCTTATGGTAGTGTTGGGGGCTCTGTAATAGAAAGACCCCAGATGGCTTTGGGTTTCAGTTCTAGATCTGCACCCTAGAAAGAAACTATGTAATCTTGATCAAGTCAGTTAAACTTTCTGAGGCTGAGCTTTCTCATCAGTGAATCAAGGACAACACCACCTGCTACACTGAATGTTACGAATTAGATCTAGAATGTAACCTGGTGCTTCCCGTGCCTGGAAAGTGATTGGATCGTGGAGGCACTGTACTCACCAGTGGGCCAACCCACTGATGATCTCACAGCTGACTTGGTGTTAGAGGCGGGCCTGGCTAGAGGCGTTCACAGCCCTCCCTTCGCTCTCTGCTTTCTGACCGCCGTGATGCGGCAGCTCTTCCTCCCTGTGACCCTCCACCCTGGCGTCCTGCCTTGGAGCTGGCCGACTAAACTGTGAGCCGAAGTTAACCTCAACTCCTTTAAGTTGCAGATGTCAGATATTCTGTATCAGCCATGAGAAAGTGACTAAGATAATACATACCCATAATTTATATATATCCCACATGGAAATGTACTATATCTGTGTTGCACCAAGGTGTCAATTACTGTTAATATCCTACCTCTTACAATAGGCTATTAGCTAATGCAACAGTTTAAATCAAATTCAAAGTAAGCTTTTAAGAAAGTAGAATGGTTTAATGACTCCTCGTGTACTCCTCTCCCAGCTTCAATGATTATCAGTTCATGACCAATTTTGTACCCACTCCCTCCATATAATTTTGAAACAAATCTTGAATATATTACTTCATGTGTGAATATTTTAGTATAAATATCTAAATGTAAGACCTATTTAAACAGCAGCCATTTTATCATTATCTCATCTGAATAAAAATGACTCCTGATATTAAATATCCAGAAGGTGTTCAAATTTCCAAATGTCTCATAAATGACTGTATTTAAAAAATTTTTTCTTTGTTTTAATCAGGATCCAAATGAGGCCCACACATTGCTGTTTGTTGATAATTATTTTAAGGCTCTTTTAGCCTCCAGTTTTTCTTGCAGTTAGTTGAGGAAACTGGGTCATTTGTCCTGTGCAATTTGTCATACCCTGCATTTTGCTGATGGCACTAAATAAGTTTGACTTTTTAAAAAAATTTGATTTGTCATTGACAGTGACTAACATGCTGAATTTAATATGGTTATGTGTTTCTAAAGAGCAGTGGCATAAAATGACTGAGAGAAACAGAATGGAGAGACATAAGCATTAGAACAGTGTTCATTCTAACCCACTGTAAGTAACAAATGCTTCCATGAGTGGTGGGGAAAAGTCTTCCTGGATGTTACAAGGATCCATTTCCTTTTCTGCCGACTATCTACACTCTTCACAGCCTTCAACCCTTTCGCAGTGTGACTTTGGCAGGTCTTGAGGGTGTGTGGGCTCAGGAAAGCCACAATAATGTCCAGCCCAGGGTCCAGCCCCAGACCACTTCTTCAGCACAGCCAGGACTAGACGCAGGGCCTACACTCTGGCCAGTGGGTGGGAGGAGGAACTGGATGTGGACAGAGAATCTGTGGTCCAGGGTCAATGTGGATGGGGAGAAAACGCCTTCAGGAGACATGCTGAAGAGAATGGAGCCGGCAAAGCTGAAGACACTTTGCCCAGATGCTCTGGCTAACCCGGCTGCTCAAAGAGCCATTCATTTTCTGCTTAATAGGACAACACTCCTATGCAATTTTAACTGCAGAAGTGTTAGAAGCAAACAACAAGCATCTGCCTCAAATGCTTTTTGGAACGAAGGATCCCAACAAGTTTCTTTTAAACATTGAACAGTGATTGAACACACACACACACACACACACACACACACACACACACACACACACACACACACACACACACACACACACACACCCTGCCTTTTGAAGTAGATCTCTGCATTTAACCTTTTCTGTTAAATAAGGGCTAGATTGCCAGCTGTCTTCAATATGTCTCACTAATGACAGTCTCCAGCATTTTGCACTTAAGTGGAATTTTGCACTGGTGGAATTTTCCACAGATAGACAGGCAGACAGACAGACGGATAGACAGATGGATGGATGATGATACACTTATTTTTGGAGACTTCCTTTGAGTTTTTCCCATGTAAAAAGTGACAGCAGGGTTGGGGGTATCTCAGTGGTTCAGCGCCTGCCTTGCATCCACAAGCCCTGGGTTTGATTTCCCAGCACCTCCCACCCCCACCCTGTGGTGGCAATAAAGTGTCTCAAGAAACTCTTCCTTTTCACTAGCCTCCAGTAGAGTTTCCTTCCTTCTTCCTCGGGTCTGTAAATATGTGTTGGGTAGATAAGTGAATGAATAAATGAATGACTGTGGAGATAGTATATCTGAGGATCAATAAGCAAGGAACAGTAGTAAATAAAATTCCATGTGACACAGAGTCTGACCATAGAAGTCTCTAAATAATGAGGCTCAATCTCAAGTCCCAGTTGTTTTGCTGTGTTTTGTTTTGTTTTTGGTATCGGGGATCGAATTCAGGACTTGTGCTTGCCAGGCAGGCGTGGTGGTGCAGCTGAGCTACATCCCAGCCCTCAAGTCCCAGCTTTAAGGATCAAGTGAGAGACAATCTAACCTAAGACCACCAAGGCAAGGTCATTAGGTGCTATGGACCTCCCCCAAGATCTAATGTGGCTCCTTCATCTCAGAAAAAGGAGTGGCCATTTCCTCTTCTATTACATGAAAGTCTCAGGCCAGCTAATTCTATTCACTGGGTAAATCCCTTAACTTGTTCTTAAAGAACTCTTATCAGGTTCTTCAGACCAATAACCTTTAAACGAGGTAGGGTATAGATGTATATTACTGAGAAACAACTTGGCAACTCATATGGACAGTAGGTTTTTGTGCCCACCTCTTGCTATCATAAGACATATATTTAAGCTTATAATATCCTAAAATGTCTATATTACTACTCTTCTATTATCATATTTGTGTATTAGCTAACATTTACTCAGCACTTTATTATGTGCTAAGTGCTTTATTCCCAGCACTCATGACCCTAATTCTCCCCACTTTCCAGATAAGGTAACTAAGTGTAAGTAGGTTAAGGAATTTGTTCAAGGTCACATAAATAATAAATGATTTTTTAAAAAGGAAAAAATACAAAGAAAGGCCAAAATTCCAAGCTCAGATTTTTTTTGGTACTGGGGATTGAACTTGAGTCCTTGTGCTTGCAAGGCAGGCGGTGGAACCACTGAGCTAAATCCTGGCCCCAAGCTCAGAATTTTAACCATCATTCCATGTGACATTTATTAGTAGAACTGCTTCTCCATCTTCAAAAACACCCAGGCTGCCTCAGGTTCACTGAAACACAACCAGACCAGGAAATGCCTATTTATCTGTGTGAATCCCACTACCTGTTGATTATGGAAATTATGGCTGGGGAATATGCTTTGCAGAACAGATGTACAAACCACACTGCCCAGAAGTCAATTTTAATCAATTTAATCTATTAATTTTAGCCTATCCCCTGGGGAATGAGACCCTAACAGTGAACTAGATTTGCTTTGCTTCTTGGAATCTCTACACACATGTTGGGGTTTGCACTTTCATTAATTTTTTTAAATTTAATTTTGTTGGTACATTTTAGGTATACAATATAATGACACTCATCATTGGAAATTTGCACCTTTACATAATCTCTCTTGGTGCACTTTCATTAATTTGAAGAGGGCTGAAAGAGTAAATGTTTATTCTGTGATTTGTGTTTGATTCTATAATTCTTAAATGAGAGAATGTACTAATTTCCTTAACATTAGTCTGTGCATTCACTTAAATGTGTATTATTGCCCTCCTTTGCTGGTTTCTCCTAGGAGAAGGGTCTAGCAGTTAGAACCAGACACTGAACATTTAATCTGATTCTATCAGTGAGCCCAAGGAGAGTCCTGTTGCTTTCCCATACTTTTAATACCTTATCTTTAGAAAATATTTCCTGGAGTGCAGGTTGGGATGGATGGAGGACACAGAACAAAATGTTTTAATGGGTTTCTCTTTTTTCCCAAAATTAAGTTCATTGCTAAAATGCCCAATAAAACACTTAAATCAAATCTAAAACATGCTTACCAGCTGCCACTCCGAAAGTGAAAAAGAGACAGTGCACATTGGCAGCATAGGCACTCAGCACCCAGCCCAGCGAGTTCAGCAGTCCTCCCACGATGGTGGTCCAGCGGCACCCACAGGTGTTAATGAACAAGCCGATGAAAGGTCCTGCCACAGAGCATTGAAAGAGGAATTGACTACTGGTGCTTTATTTTCATGCTTTCTTTTGTTGTTGTTGTTTTTTGAGACAGGGTCTAACTATGTAGTTCAGGCTGGCCTTGAACTCACTATCCAGCCCAGGCTGGCCTCGAACTCATGGCAATCCTCCTGCCTCAATATGTTCATGCTTTCTTAGCAAATCCTCATGTGAAGCCAAAGAATATACTAGAACTGTAGAATAAAGCAAAAGCAAAACATGTTTTATGTACAAAACCCTTTTTAGCATACAGAGATGGATGTAAATGATTTCATCAGAGAACAGGAGGTTCTAGATTTTCAAGGAAGGCCGACCTGAAATAAAGAAACAAATACATGGGTTCATTCTTTGGCCTATAACAAGAAGTCCTTAACTACTGGTCTGGGGCAGAATGCCCTTGGCAGTCTTCAGCAAAGTTTGGAAAAGGCTTGGAATCAGTTGCCAATATTTAAAAGTTGAGAGAATTAAAAAAGAAAAAATCCAGCAGCAGCACCTGCCACCTTCCCACACAGCTGGACCACCGGTGCTGCACAGCATTTGGCTCTGGCTGTCACAGCCTCTCAGTTCTCTTTCCCTTGGGTCCCTTTGGCCTCCCACCTGGCTTCCTGGCCCCATTTACATTATTTATTTGGCCTTGTTCGCAGTTTTCATTCTTCCTCTCTCTTTTGTTTTCATTGCTGGGAATCCAACCCAGGGCCTCACACACATGCTGGGAAAGTGCTGTACCACTGAGCTACCCCTGGACCCTAAATTTGAGTTTTCAACTCCAGTTCTTAAGGGACCTCAGGGAAAAGGGTTCTGAGAACATCTAGCCCATGTGACTGAGGACACCTAAGTGCAAACCAAGGACTCAGCCGCTGCCTTCTCTCCTGGTTCCTCCCACACTCTTCAGGCTCTGCATTTATTTATTTATTTATTTATTTATTTATTTATTTATTTTGGTACCAGGGATGGAACTTGGGACCTTGTGCTTGCAAGGCAGGCAGAACTACTGAGCTAAATCCCCGGCCCCAGGGTCTGCATTTATGACTGGAGACTCGGGAGCAAGATGTGACAATGCACACAGCAGCATGGTTTTTTATGATGCAGAATCTGACTGCTTTCTTTACTCAGATGCTCTAGGTTTTTCCTTTCTCTCTTTCTGATTTTTATGGGACTTCTGACATCTCTCACTTGTGATCAATGATTTCTTGTGCACAAAACAATTCAGAGTTTAGCAATACAGTGTGAGACTGTATCTGATATTCAGAAAGATGGCTCATGGTAAATATCATCTTATTTTTGGTTATTACTTTGTATATTCAGATGGGACTATTTCAAATTAAAAGCTTACTGAAGTCTATGGAGCTCCCCTTTTCAGCCCAAACTAAAATAACATTTCACTTTAAAGTTTTGACCATCTTCATAACTCTTGGGTCCACAGTCTTCCAATGAGTTTTTTTTCCTGTAGTGGTTTCTCTCTCTCTCTCTCTCCCTCTCTCTCTCCTTTGCAGTAGATGGAACCCAAGGCCTCGTGCATGCTAAGCAAACAGTTCACCACTGAGCTCCATCCTAGTCTTATTTAATGTATTGAAAGTGTCTAATCCTGCCCTTTGTGGTGGCCAACACACCAGGCTGAGGCAGGAGGACAGCTTTGAGTTCAAGGTCAGCCTGCTCTACATAGTGAGACCCTGTCTCAAAAAACAAAAACAAAAACGAAAACAAACAAAAAAGTATCTAATCTAAAATATTATGAAGGTAAATGCTCCTTAGTTTAATTAGCCTTGTTGCATTACAGAAAGTAATCCAGTAGATAAAGCTCTTAAAAGGGGCTTAATATATTACATATATCTTATATAAGTATAGTGTATGCTATACATTATAAACTTATGCACATTATATAAAGAATATATAACATAAGCCTGTTGGCATAAACAACTAAGGAAATTGTTGGGAGTAATAGAAATTTAGATGACGTAAGTTGAAGCTATAGTATTTCTTTAATTTCTTTACACATATTTTATTTTTCTAAACCCATGGTCACTTGACCACATGACATTTGGATAAGTGGTTAAATAGGAAATGTATGACTCATAGGTTTGCTGTTCATGTCTCTTTTCAGCTATAAACAAGTCACAGTTCAGTAGCCCAATGTTGTCCACATTACACAGAGGGTCCAGAGGAAGTTTCCTTGCGTTTATGAAATGCTGCACCAACAAGCCATTTGAGGAGGCAAAAATAAAGAAGAAATTCCCAAGTCAGTGCAAATAGTCATCTCTGGAGGAACTTTATAAATAAGACAGAAAGCACTGAGTTCTTTACTGATAAGAACATGATAACATGCAGTGGACAACAGTCTAGATTTCTAGTTAATCAACTTTTGCATGCTGGAGCTTCAGTCATTTATGAGTCACACATGGGAAAAATCAGCCCAGAAATGCTGTCACTTCTCCTCAGTTATGAAATAGTGACCTTTAAAAAAAAGCAAACAATTAGATCCCAAGCTTTCCCAGCTCAGTCTCATTTTCTAACCATTGCTCATCAGTACCCAATGGGCATCTCCAACATCTAGCTGCCATTTCAGCAGAATTAAAGAACTCCCCACACCGAGGACAGGAGAGAAAAACTGAGAAGTAGCCCTTTGATTATGACTCAGAATAATGTAGAGTAATTCAATGGTGTTGTGGTTTATAGCTAGATGTCCCCTAAAGCCTCACATGCTCATCAGTGGGGCACTGGGGAGGTGACTGGATCATGGGTGTGATACTCCAGTGGATTAGTCCACTGATGAGTTCATACCCAGATGCAATGTTGGGAGGTGAAGCCTGGTTGGAAGAGCTGGGTCACTGGAGATGTGCCCTGGAAGGGTCTATCTCCTTCCTCCTCCCATGATCTCTGTTTCCTGCTGCCATGCAGCCCTACCTTGGAGCCACCCCATTATGGAGTGAAACAGGGTCATCCCTCTTTGCCTATCCCAGTAACTGATGGGCCAGGAAGGCCATACAGCTTGGGTGACAACAACAATCTGAGGTGAGCCTGGCCAGCACTGAGGAGGTCATTCTCTGAACCCTGAGTCCTGTAGGATAGAGATTTAGCACCTCTAAATCCACAGCTCCCTGCTTTGGCTGCATCAACCTGAAGCTTAATAAAAACCTCTTGATGCTTGGATTCCATCCCAAGAGATTGGGTCTAATGGTCCAAGTGTAGTCTGAGACTCAGGATCTTTAAAAACTTCCCAGGTGGCTCTGAAGTGCAGCTAGGACTAATGACTACAGCTCTAAATCCACTTAGGAAGCCAATCATCTTCTGTAGCCCATGGATTCCCCACCAAAAATTATTCAAGGAGCTGTCATCACAAAAGCTGCTTGGACAGGAATGGGGGGAAGAGATTTTGTTATAAGATGGGGCTTGGGGGCTGGGGATTTAGCTCAGTGGTTCTGCTGCCTGCCTCAAAAGTACAAGGTCTGGAGTTTGATACATAGTATGAAAAAAACCCCAAAAAACAAAAAAGAGGGGCTTCCTGCAGCACATCTGCAAATTGGTCCTGATAAAGAATGAAACAATGCATATTTATTAGATTTAACATATGCAAATTGCTGACCAAGAAAGAGATAGCTTCCAACTACTGCAATACAACTCATGGATTTTTAATTAAAATTTAAAATAGGCAATCTAAATGTGCTGACAATGATTAGAAGATGCAAACAATATGTATTTATTCACCTCAAGTATATTCTCAGTTCTCATTCAATGTAAGGGGACACATTTCTGGAGTCCAATAGACCAGATTTGAAGCCTGTCCTATACTTCCTGGCTGTTCAACCTTCAATAACTTGATGTCTCTCCAAATTCTCCCCTTCTAGGATAAAGATGATGGCCTGGCTTTCAGTATTGTGGGATCACTGAAATTTTATAGACAGCTAAGTTAGATAAAAATATTATAGGCAATCAGACAGAGCTAGAACTCGATGTATCTGACATCTAGCAGGTTGAGAGTTACATTTATTTCGCCCATATTATTTGGAGGTCCCACTGAGATAATTGAAAGGAGGTAAGAGTTTGCTTTTGTTTCATGGATTCTGGATTGTAACTCATTTAGGTAATTAAAAATTGTCATCCTTTTCAATTGCTTTGCCTTGAATTTTTATGCCTTGTCTTTTTTATGCATTGTTCTTTGTTAAAATGATGATAAATTTATATTGAGAACATGGGAAGATAATGATTTTTCATTGATGGGACATTATACTTTTCCAGGCAAGGTCTTGTATTCTTGTTTTGCTACATTTAGACTAACCAGTTGCTGAAGTTTTTGGTGCTCCTTGCTTGACCTGTTTGACTTGTGACTGTTGTGGTTTGTTATTTTAGACAGCAGTTCCAGGGAAAAGTAATGTTAGAGCGTCCTCTAGAAGACTGATACTAACCAAAATGTGAATTTATGAAATGCTATACAATGGATCTTCTTATGAAGTCTAGTTTATATTTAGGAAATATACATGCCTATTAATAAATCACAGGACCCCACCTGCCAAACGCAATAGGCTGGCAGCTGTTCTTAAGACTTGGGAGACAGATTTTACTGGGACAGTCTGGCCTGATCCCCCCTCTACACTATAGAGGGGAATGTCAAGCCTGTTGTGCCTCAGTTTCCTTTCAGTTCTGATCTTCCACTAGTGAGGAGGCAAGCTTAGCTCTTGAGATTCTCCACTCTTGCCATTCCAAGCTGAGGGTGATACTCATGGGCAAATTGTCTCTCAATAACTCACCGTGTGTGTGTGAAAAGAAAGAATTCCTTTTTCTGATCTCATTTCTGATCTTTTCCTGTCACTCCGTATTTTCCTTTTTTGGAGGCATTTTTCTGCTAAAAATTAGAGGAAAGAACCTAAACTATCTCACCTTTCCCTCCTATCCAACAACTAAGAACTTCTAAGTTGAGCCTGTAGAAAATGAGTGTGTGCTAACTCTGAGGACAAGGAAGTCACCTTAGATGAGGAACACATTCAGTTTAAGGAAGAATCTCCAACTTCCTGGGTCTCTCTCTCCCCTCCTAGTCCTGGTTCTCATCGTTTATGCGTGTAGGGTAGGGAAGTACTTTGGCTAATGTATAAGTTATGGTTGCTGGATGATGGGTACAGGTTTTAACCTGTGAGCTTCATAAGTGTGTTGCTAAGGAAGATTGCCTAGGTGATTAGGTAGACAACACAAATATCTTGGGGACTTCCTTGCCCTAGGGCCTATGGAAGGATTTTTCTGAGCCATTACTTGCCTCATCTCTAGAGGTGACCTTTTTTCAGACTTTTAAGTGCTCCTACCACTTCCAATCTGCCCTTTGAATTTTTTTCCCTCTCTTTAAAAGAATTGGAAAGCAGTTGTTCAGGTCTCTTGATTATTGTTTTAATTTTGCTAGCAATGCTTCCTTCTTTAAACATGGCTGTTTAGCAGGGTCAGTTATAGTTTGTGCTTTGGAAATACATGCTAAAGTTGACTGTGAGTTTCTGGAGAAGGTAGGGGTGCAAGTTGGTAAGGCTACCTAGTCTGACCCAACCTGATCACTCTCCAGATAGCAGCCACATGCTCTGGAGCAGGTCACCTCTGGGGATGCCTTGAGAGGATATAAACCAAGTAGGGATGAAAAGGGATGCCTATTTTCCCCCTTATTTTGCAGATGGGAAACTCAATGTCAAATTCTTACTCCTTCAGAATGTATTCTTAAGCACTGAAAACTGTCTGACCCTCACATATTGAGAAAGAGCTGTTTAATATTTTTCTACACCCATACATGGCCTGCATACCTCCTAGAGACAAAATAGAATGCAGAGGGAAGTATTGATTATGGTACTATTTCACAACTAAAATTGTACTGTGAGAGACAGGGAAAATGGTCAAAATTACCTTATGTTCAGACTTTTTTTGCATTAAGAGATAATCCTTACATGTGTTCAAAATATAAACCACAGGAAAATCAGACACCTCTAGTTGTTAAGGCACAGTCGGATGCATCCACTATCACTGAGCATGAGGTTCCCCTCCCTTGCTCTTCAATCCTAAGGATGAGGTTTCCAAGGCAACCTTAATCAAAGTCTCATCCACTATTACTGAGCCTGAGGTTTCCCTCACTTGCTGTCTGGACTCTAAGGGTGAGGCCTCCAAGCTAACCTTAGTTGAAGCCTCTACTGGGCTCTATCCATCCCTAGCTGATTTTGTTCAAGCTCCTCAAGGACAGTATCCCTTACAGGAGGTGAGTAGAGAATTTGGCACTGCCTCTGTCCACATGTCTTTTTTTTCTCAGTGACGTCAAACAGATCAAACAAGATCTGGGAAAGTTTTCAGATGACCCTAATAAGTACATTGAGGTCTTTAGGGAACTTAACTCTGACCTATGAACTAGACTAGAAAGATGAAAAGTTACTCTTAAATCAAACATTAACTTCTAATGAGAGACAAGCAGCATTATAACCTGCTATTACATTTGGAGATGAATATCATATTGTAAATTTTAGAAGGCCAGAGGACAGGCAGCCAGGGGGAACAGCTGGTTCCTACTGGAGCCCAAGCGGTCCCTATCCAAGACCCTTACTGGCCTATGAACCAGACAGGAGATCAGAATAGAAGTCCTCTTCAGACATGTATTCTTGAAGGTTTAAAATGGACAGGAACTAAGCCCTTCAGTTAATTTAAATTGTCAGCTACTCATCAGGAAAAAGATGAGAACCCCTCTGTCTTCTTAGACCATTTACAAGAGGCATTGATGAAACATACATCCCTGGCTTTTGATTTGATAGAAAGACAGATTATTCTTTTTTTTTTTTTTTTGGTACTGGGGTTCGAACTCGGTACCTTGCCCTTGCTAGACAGGCATCGAAACCACTGAGGTAAATCCCTGGCCCAGGATAGATTATTCTTAAAGACAAGTTTATTACCCAGTTAGCCTCAGATATTAAGAAAAAGCTACAAAAGATGGCTTTTGCTCCTGATAGCTGATACTTTAGTGAAAATTTCCTCCTCAGTTATTTATTTATTGATTGACTGATACCGGGATCGAACTCGGGATCTTGTGCTTTCGATGCAGGCAGTGGAACCACTTAGCTAAGTCCCCAGCTCCTCAGTATTTTATAATTGAGACCAGGAGGAGGCCAAGGGGAGAAAACAAAGAGACCAAGAGAAAGTGGCTGCCTTGGTTGTGTCCTTAAAAGGCATAGACTCTAAGTCTGATTCTTGGGGTTCCAAAGAGAGCTCAACAATTAATGTCACCTGCTACCATTGTGGAAAGCCAGACCACCTTAAGAGAGACTGTGATAGGTCCAGGGATTTAGCTCAGCGGTGCCTGCCTCACAAGCGCAAGGTCCTGAGTTTGATCCCTGGTACCAAAAAAAAGAAAGAAAAAAATGGCAAGCATCTATCGAGGGGCGATAGATCCTCTAGAGAGTATCTCTGACTGCTGATCATAACTATGACCCCCTTCAGCCAAAACCAGCCAGAATGGTCATTGCCCCTTGCCCCTTCATGGCAGTTAGGGGTACCTCTTCAGAGAGGAGAGCATTATAGACAGCCAACTGAGGTAAAAATATTATAGGCGGTCAGAGAGGGCTAGGCCTTTGAGCGAGTCAGTACAGAGGATGAGAACACATTACAACTGTGGCTAGAGGCACATCTGTTGAAAGCCAAGCCTCAAGATAAAGAAGGAATGACCAGGCCTACATGCCTTCCCAAGGGATAAGCAATAACTTGAAGATTATACTGTAATTGGTATCACATGGTCTAATGAAGTCTAGATAGACATCAGTCATCCAGGCGGGTGACCAGGACCTCCCGATCCATCCCTTCCTAAAAAAGTCCTGGTTCTTTCCATGTATACTTGCTATGTGACCTGCTTCCCCACTGGATCAATATTAACACAGCGGCTCTACTTTAATCTTATTGGTTGATCATAGTTTTGACCCATGTTTTATCCACCTTGTGATTTTGTACCCACTTCGGGAGTCCCTGGTAACCCATTTTTGGGTCCCCTCCTATCTCTCAGAGGGTACCTCTCTCAATAAATATTTTCTACTCTTGCCCTCTGTTGTTCCTTAAAACTCATTCTTCAGGGCCGGGGATGTAGCTCAGTGGTTCCACCACCTGCCTCACAAGCACAAGGACCTGAGTTCGATCCCCGGTACCAAAAAAAAAATTCATTCTTCAAGTTTAGAGAACACCAACTCAGCATACTTAATACCTAGCAGGTTGGGAGTTACATTTATTTCGCCTATATCAAAATCATGCATCTAACACACACTTGGCATGCAGTAGGTGGAAAATAAAAAAGACCTGTTACATGGTTCCTGGTTTGGAAAAGATCCCTCATGTTGTTCCACTTGTCTGGCACCACTCTGTACCAGGAAGTTTAGGATAATAAACAGTGACTTAAGGACATGGTAGATAAAAGACCTTTCATCATGTAGCTATGAACCTTGCTATGTTGAGACCCAGAGCAAAAGATGTTTATCTGGCAGGCAGCCTTCCCTGTAGAAATGTTAGATTACAATCTGAAATTCTACTGTCTGGAGTTCAAAGGCTCTCTAACATCATTCTGTACATACATGTATTCTCCAACTGAATTAATGATGGCAATTGCATTCCACCATTGCTAGGAACTGAAGGTTCTGGTTTTGAGGATTACACTCAAAACCACGTCCAATAATTTTGGCACTGGTTTCCATGCTTATTTTTACAGAATTCATGAAACATGAAATAATATATAAGTCAACCTTACTGGATGGCTTAGCAAACATTGGAATATTTTGTTTCTTAGCCTTTTCTTGAGGATTTTTTTATAGTTGTTGCAGGTACACACTTCCTAGATTGAATCTGTATTTTGATCTACACTTCAAAACCAAGCAAAAGGTAAGAATGCTGAATTATAATATATTTTATACTGGAAACAAATCCAATCTTCTGTTTTTGTTTTTTTTTTTTTGGTACTGGGGATCGAACTTGGGACCTTGCGCTTGCAAGGCAGGTGGCGGAACCACTGAGCTAAATCCCTAGCCCCCAGCCCCTTATCTTTTAAAAAAATTCATAAATGTTAAATAAGAAGAGATTTGAAATGACACAATGAACATAACAGTTAAGAAAACAGTATGGGCCAAAAGAGAGGTTTTTAAAACTGATCAGATTTTGTTGTTGTTGTTGTGTTTTGAGACAGAGTCTTGCTATGCAGCTTGGGCTGATCTTGAACTCACTCGAGATCTCAAATTCATGAGGATCTTCCTGTCTCAGCCTCCTGAGTGCTGGGATTACAGGTGTGTGCCACCACCCCTGGTTTTAAATGATCAATTTTTAGAACAGTCAGTGTTCAAAACATTCAAGTAGTCATATCACGCAAAAGGACAAATATTATAGGACTCCACTTACACAAATTACTTTGAATAATCAAATTCATAGAGGCAAAAAATATAATGTTGGTAGCCAGGGGCTGGGGCAGGTGGAAATGGGGAGGTTCTTATTTCATGAGAACAGAGTTTCAGTTTGAGGAGATGAAAAAGTTCTGGAGATGGACGTTTGTGATGGCCGAACAATAACACACGTACTTAAAAGCACAGAGCCGCGTTCCTAAAAATGGTTAAAATGGTAAATTTTGTGTTCTGTAGATTTAGCCATAACTTAAAAGACTAGAAACATCACTAACAAATAAGGTCTGATGTTTCGCCAAGGTAAGGTATCACTTAGAGTGTGAACCCTTGAGTACCCACAGGCCGCACACCAACGTACCCACGATCAGGGTGAGGCCCATGCTCAGCGAGCTCACCCAGGCGGTGAGGCCACGGCTCTGGTGGAATTCCTCCAGCCACTCCACGTTGAGGACACCCAGGGCCATCTGGGAGCCCATGATGAGGATGTGCACGAAGAAGGACGAGAGGACCACCATCCAAGCCCACCCGCCGTCGATGTCCCGGTGGGGCTTGAGGGTCTTCTTCTCCTTGGGGTGATCTTCAAAATCGTACCCAATCTCTTCGTGACTCGTGTACATTTTCCAAGATTTTCTGAAACACACAGAGCAAATCACTTCACTGAACATCGAAGGAAAAGATTATCTTCATCTTCTTCGGCTCTCTCCACCTCCCACTGGGTGGGCCCAGTGTCATATGAAGCCTTCAGATTAATCTTTGTCCTATGCAGATGTGGCACCGTTGCTTACCTTTTTCACAGGCTGAGGGCTCTCATGAAACCTGTTTCATCTGGCCTTTATGCTGAGCTACATCCTCAGCCCTTAATTTTTTTTTTTTTTTTTTTTTAATGTGAGACAGGGTCTAAATTGCTCGGTTACCCAGGCTGGGCTTGAACCTGTGACCCTCCTGCTTCAGCCTCCCAGAGTGCTGGGATTACAAGGGTGCGCCACCACACCTGGGTTCATGTTTGTCTTTAAAAACTTCCCCTTGTTTCTACTTCAATGAATATACACACGCATTCCCATTGCAGTGCTATGCTATTCCGATACATCAGTGTTCTCTGGAGCATCTCGAGTTTTAGAAATACAGACTGACCAGAGAGAAGCAAACTGTGGCATACCGCACCATCTTACAGCCTGTGTTTGCACATGCTGGAGCTAAGAATTCTTATAATTAGCCTTTCTAAAGGCTACAAGCCTGCAAGTCCTATCATACTTCCTGTCTGGCCCCGTCCAGGACAAGCTGGCTGGTCCCAGACTGTTCTGCCTAAGGGCTGATTGGGCGCTGGGAAGAACATGAGTTGGGGGAGGCACGGATGCCCGGCAGGAGCAGTGGAGGGATCCGCCCTGGGCTCATCCGGGTACTTCCTTCCTCTCGCACCTGGTTCTGGGTAGGATTTTTGTCTTTTAGACCATTCTGTCTCCTAAACAGCTGCGCACTTCTCACCTACACATGCCTGTGCATGTTGCTCTATCCTGGGTTCTCTTCCCCCTTCCAGCACCCAGACTGCAGGGCATGGGAACTGCTCATCTGCCAGGGCATCTCCCCACCAGTTCAATCCCCCCCCCCCCGCAACACCTCTTTTCCTTATTTACAAAAGCTTTGTTTCCATTTTTTCCATTTTCTCTTTTTTTCGTGTCCCTTCTCTCCCAACCCATTCCCCTTCTCATTTGAACATTTTCTTTCCCTCTTCCAATATGTATTATACATTTTAGTCCTTATTTCCACTTTAGGTTTCTCACACCAGAGAAACAATGTGGTATTCAAACACATGTGTCTGATTTATTTCACTTAGGAGAATGGTCTCAAGGTGGATCCATTTAGCTAGAAATGTCTCAAGCTCATCCTTCTTTATGGCAAAGTAGTACTCCACTGTATAAAAAAGCCCCATCTTCTTTATCCATTCATCTGTGGGTTTTTTTCATAAATTCTTTTATTGGTACATTTTAGGTATACAAGACATTTACAGTCATCACTGGGATCTTGTACCTGTACATGATGTATCTTGGCTCTTGTTTTTTCCTCATTCCCTACTGTCCCTTCACCCCCTCCACCCTTCCCTATTTACAAAGACTTTGTTTCCATTTTATTCCTTTTCTCATAATTTTTCCTTTCCCATCTGTTGATGGGCATTTGAGCTGTTGCCAAGATTCAGCTATTACAAACTGTGCTGCTATGAACATGGGAGTGCAAATATCACTGTGGTGTGATGCTCTTAATTCTATTGGGAAGACACCCAGCGGAGGAACAGCTGGGCCAACTGGAACCTCTAGTTTTAGTTTTTAAGGAATCTCCACACTGATTTCCACAGTGGTTGCACCAGTCTGCACTCCCACCAGCAGCGGAGCAGGGCTCCTTTTCCCCACAGTCCGCCAGCATTTGTTATTCCCATCCCTTCAATTTGTTCTGAGGTTCAAGGCCAAGCTCCCAGTCCTTCACGTGCTTCAGTTCCCAGGTTGCTCTTGCCCTGGGCTGTCAGGAGCCCTGCTGACCCCGCCCAACTTTGCACCTCACACTCCATCCTCCACAAGCACCTGACTCCTTGAACGCTGCGCGGTGCAGTCTCCCCGGCACCTGGGTGTGTGTGTGACCTCCCCTTCCCTCTCCTGGGAACAGGCTGCCTCCTTCTCACTTTCTTGGTTCTTTTCTGCTTATCCTTCAAGACACAACTAAATTCCTAGAATGAAACTCTGAGAGTGAGAAGAAATTAAAGCTCTGAAAACACTTCTAACATCCAACATCAGAGCACCGCACCTGTTAATCAGCCAATCACCGCCAAGCTCTGTGAGGAGAGTCTAGTACGGGAAACACTGTTGCCTTCGGGCTGGGCTGCAGCCAGTGTGGGGTGGAGCATTAGCCTCAAGCACTGGCCCAGGGCCAAGTAACCACAGAACTGCGAGGCTCTGTGAAGACCGGAAAGAAGGCCAGGCTAAAGTGTGAACTCTAGAGGGGGGTCCGAAAATGGGCACGTGTGACAATCCTTCTGTTTCTTCTGTTGTCCAAAGCACGTTATCTGTGGGAGAAACCACTCGAGTGAAAAAAGAAAAATGTTGATGTTCTTTCAGGGCATTTCTCCTTTCTTTTTTACTTATTGGTAAAAAATATTCTAAGTAAACATATATCATAAAAAATTAAAGGTTTCTACTTTTTTCTTTTTTTGTTACTGGGGATCGAACTCGGGACCTTGCGTTGTGAGGCAGGTGCAGTGCCACTGAGCTAAATCCCCGGCCCAGGTTTCTTTCTTTTAAATATCCAGATCAGCCTCTTGCCTACAGGTGAATTAGTGGTTAAATTATAAAAGAGAAAAAAATAGACAACCCAGGAGCCACTTGTCTGGGGTGATCTTCCAGTCTGCCTTGGGCTCTAAGCTTTAGCACAAGCGTGTTCTTGCATGTGGATGTGTGTGCACTTGTGTGCATGTGTGTGTCAACCCACCCACTCATCTTTCTTCCTGCACTGGAGCCCCTTGGTGCTCGGAGGAAGGGACAGCCCTTGTTCTCCAAGGCCACAGTCCGGGAAGAGCCACACTGTGGGGGGACTGGCTTAGGCTGCTCCAAAGGGGTGGCTGCTGGTGCATCAGCTCTGTCCCTGCTCCTGACATGCAGGCTCCGAAGGAGCCAGGAAAAGAACCCAGCAGCTAGACATGGACGTGACTGTCTCATCTGAGTAATAACGTCATTTTACACTGGATCAGACGAAGCTCAACTGTATTTAATATGATAAAACAACAAAACTTGGCATTTCCCTAAAGTTTAGGGAAACAACTAAAAAAGGCTTTGTCATGGTTACAATAATAAAGTTAGTTTTTCAACCCGGAGAAAAGTGCTTGAAATATTAAGCACTTTTCTAAAGCAATGTTAAGAACTTTATAGTCTCAGTGAATTATTTATTTTATGGGTTCAGTTGCCATCTGACTTTGTTGGCATTTCCAGTTTGTTTATAAATAAATGACATTGCATAACAGTGGACACGATTTATTTAAGAGGCACCACCACACATGCAGAAGGCAACACTCGAGGACAGGGTGAGGCAAAAAGAAATTCTTTCAGATCCTTGGGAGGCTCTTTCAGATCTTCAGAGCAAGGGCGTCATTTGCATTTCACACTTAAATCTCTCTAAAATTAATTGCTACTTGAGGGTTTTTTTTTTGGTACCGGGGATCAAACTCGGGTCCTTGTGCTTGCGAGGCAGGCGGTGGAACCACTGAGCTACATCCCCGGCCCAATTACTACTTGACTAATCACAGCTAACTTATTGCCCCACTACATGAACTAAAACAAAGACAACAGGAGAATAAGTGCTCACTGCCTGTTATGGCTCATGTTGGATTTCATTGTGACTTAACAGTATTAACAGGAGGAACTTTTAAGAGGCGCTTGGGCCAAGTGGGCTTTGCCTTCATGAAGGGGTTAAGGTCATTCTCACTGGAGCGGGTTAGTTACCTTGGAAGTGAGTTTCTGATAAAAAGGATGGGCTTGGCCTGACTTCTTTCTTTGTGGCACCTTTCGCTCGCCCTTCCTCCAAGTTATGATGCAGAAAGGAGACCTTCACCAGAGGCGGCCCTGGACCTTGTTTCCCAGCTTCCAGAACCCAGCCACATGCACTTCTACTGCTCACGACTGACCCAGTTTGTGTATTCTGAGACAGCAGCAGACAATGAAGACAGTGCCCTACCCCACAACTTGCCTTTTAGCCTGTTTACATTTACATAATTAGGAGACACAAAATCACCATTTTAAATATGAAAACAACTCCTAGAGGGTATCTGGACTGTTCCACCGTGGTTCACCTCTTTCTCCACTGTATGGCCTTCACAGTGTCCAAGCAGTTCCTCATGTGCGCGTGACCCACTGGGGTAAACTGAGGCAGTGGGTGTGAGTGTGGGGCTTCTGCTAAGGGTGTGCTGTGGGAAACCCGGATGTGACAATTGGGCCTTGCCCTGGAGGAGGCGAAGGAAGGAAGAAATGGGAAGACTGTGGGACCAACTGGTCAACCTTCCATTCTCCCCAAATGGGAGTTCGTAAACCACGACAAAGAAATCATAAATGGCGGGGTGGAACGGGGAGGAAAGGAACACTTGTAGGGTATGAAACGTGTCAGCCATATACTTATACAGTAATAGGCACAAACGAAGATGACTGCTCTTTCTGGAGTGTATCAGATTAAAACAAAACTAAATTTTCTACATTCTGTCATGGGAGGAAGTTTTACAAGCTAGTCTTTGGGATTTTTATTTTTTATTTTTTTCCTCCAGGACTAGGGATTGAACGAGGGCTTTTTGTGTCTCTTGCATGCTAGGTAAGTGCTCCCTTACTGAGCCATACTTCCAGCCCTTTTTAATTTTAATGTTAAAGCAGGATCTAGCTAAATTGCTCAGGTTGGCCTTGATCTTGTGATTCTCCTGCCTCAGCCTCTGGAGTAGCTGGGGTTACAGATGTGTGCACCAGGCTAAATAAATTATTATTATTATTGATTGGTGATTGTCATGTGGCATATGGTGAGTTCATTATTATGAGAAGCAAATTAACTAATTGAAACTAAAATGCCAATTTTCCCAAATGGTGGAGAAGGCGTGCTGGTAGCAGATCCTCCATGGGATGCGGGGTGTGGAGGGATCACCTTCAGTTTGGCTCTCTGGCTGCTTCTGCCCTCTACATCAGTTGCCTTCAGGAATTTTGGGGGCACACTCAGGCCAACAGACAAAGGAGCTAGAGCGGAGAAGGCTGGGGGCTGCGCTAGGCTAGTGCAGACTGCGGGGGAAGCCGGGAACCCGCTTCGCACTAAACTGAGGGAACCGAGCCTACAAATACCTCCTGTGTGTCAGGACCCTGCTGGGTGGCTTCTCACGACCATCTGGTCCCACTGGCTTTAACGTCCCCATTTCACAGATGAGGAAACTGAGCTAATTGTCAGAGGTCAAACTACCAGGTGGAGGGACCCAAATCTGACCCCGAGCGCGCAGGGTGCCCCAGACAAGGCGGAAGGGCCTCTCCCTAATCCCCAGTGATCACCCTCCGTGACCCTCAGGAACCAGCTCTCCGGAGAAAGAAAGCCGCCCGACTGACTGCTCGGCAGGGCCGGGCTCCCAGCAGATCCTCACGGCCTGGGCCTCGGCGAGCCCCGCGATGGCCGTTCCGGTCCCGCGCCGGGTCAGCCTGACCTTTGCTCCCTGGAGGAGCCTGGATCGGAACCGCTAAGGGGGGTTCAGCATGGAGGGGGCGGCCTCGCCCCGCGGACCCGGTTCCCCAGCGCGCATCGCCGCCTCCAGCACCGCGAGTCCGGGCGCGCTCGGAACCAGCAGCTCCGCGGGGTCCCGGCCTGCTCGGTCCCCTCCGCCGCGCAGAGCTCCCCAGAACCGGCGGCCGCGGCTCCGCTCCGCCCGCCCATCACCGCCCTGAGCCGCGGCGCGGGACCCAGGCCGCCGCCCGAGCTCCGGAGTCACCGGCGGGGGCGCCTTTCCGACCCAGCCCCGCTCGGCCTGCGGTGCGGTGCAGCCGCGGATACTCACCGCCTGCAGCCCGCCGGGCTCGGGCCTCACTCGGCTCCCGGCCCCGACTGCCGAACTTGCTGCTCGGCTCGGAGCCCCCGGGGCGGCTGGGCTTCGAGCTGCGCCGCGAGGTCGCCGATCATCCTGCAGACGCGGGGTCCGGGCTCGGCTCTGCGCCCAACTCCGTGCGCGGCGCGGGCTCCCGGGCTGGTCCGCCGCTCGCTGCACGGCCAGGTGGACCCTAAAGCTCGATGCTCCCGTCCGGGCGCCTTTAAAAAGGTGCGTTCCGAGGTGTCCGAGGCTCACCCGAGCTTCCTTCCAATCCGTGCAATTTCAAATCTCCACACTCGTTGGTTCCTATACCGGCTAATTCTGGTTTGGCAGGGGGAAAAAAACCTGCAGTCACCTCACAGGCACACTCTTGTGGCCGGTTGAAGTCTACGCTTTGGCTGAGACTTGCTAACGCTCTGCTTGATTTTAACGGAGGAAGCAGCCGGAAATCCAACTCAGGATGCAAGGAAGCATAGAAGCAGTGCCCATTTTTCTGGGATAGCAGAAAAGCGATGAATCGACTCTTACCCGAATCTGGGCCATAAAATACAGCAATTTGTAGAGCGAAGAGAATAGCAGGATCTGCGATACTATCTTTGGCCAAAGCGGGCTGAAAAGTCCCTCATCTTTTGTTCCTCTCTGGGTATCATTTCTTCCCATCTCTCTGCAGTCCCTTGTCTACACTCATGGGCACCAGGCACAAACCTCACCTCTGTGCCTACCCTGTTCTGAGAAGGCCCCAACACCCTGCTTTGCCCTTGGGAAGTTTTCAGTAGCTGAGCGAGTGTGTGAATGGATGAAGCCAGTGAGCTTTTACATGAACTGAACATTCAGTAGTTTTCTGTTGCTGCTGTTAGCAACTGCGACAGACTTAGAGGCTGAGAACACCCCAATTCCTGATTTACAGCTCTGGAGATCAGAAGTCTGAAATGGACCTTACTGGGCTAAAATCACAGTGGGAGCACCAGGAAGGGCACACCCCTTCCAGCAGCTCTGGTGGCAACACCCGCCTGTGGAGGTGGCCTGAATTCCCTGGCTGGTCACCACTTCTTATCACCAGAGGCAGCAGTATTGTGTCACTCTGTCTTCCAAAATCATGGCACCTGCTTGTTGTCTCAGTTCTGCCTCCCTCTTCCACTTCTGAGGACACTCGCCTACTTGGACAATACAGGCAGTGTCCCTGTTTTACGTTCTGCTGATTAGCAGCCTTACTCCATCGGCCGCCTCAGTCCTCCTTTGGCTGTGGAAGATAACATCCTACAGGTTCCAGGGATAGGATGTGGATGTCTTTGGGGGACTGTCATTCTGTGCACCACAGATTGCTTTCTCTTTCCTTTTTTTTTCTTGCAAAAAAATATTTGACATGTGTTTTCTGTTGTCATTTCTTACATCAACTCTTGATTGCAGAATAATTGAAATGATTGTGCAAAACTGTGGGGAACTGAAGACATTTTGGTGAGGCGCTAGGCTGGGCTGGTCTACACGTTTTCCTTTTGCTGATGAGAGCTCCAGCAAACGGAAAATGAGGAGAGGAATCCTCAGCCAGCACTCATTTCAACCAGGCTTTCGACAGCAATTCAAGATTGGGATTCTTAGCAAAATCCTAACGTACAGATGACCCATCTCATTTGAAAAGAGGCCTGTAAGATTTTTATGCCTTTCTTCTTTCTCGCTTTAAAACTCTGCAGATGTATTGAGGTGTGGTTGGTGTAGCATGAACTGCACAGATTGAAAGGTACATTTGTGTGTGTGTGTGTGCACGCGCGCTCTGGTGACAAACTCAGGGCTTTGCACATGCTAGCCAAGCACCCCCACACTGAGCTGCACCTGCACCCTCAGCCCCAAGGGGCAGTTTTACACTTAGGAGTTTTAGCATAGGTCTGTGGAGTCCCTACCTCAATCCCTTGTGCCCCTTGGGAGTCCAGGCTTGGCCTTCTCTCCCATCCCCAGCAGGCTCTTACTGGTACTCCAGGGAGCTGCAGCTCTGGTCTGCAGACACTTTGCACCTAGAAGCCCCATAGAAGGCTGTTTCGAAGTCCTTCTGTCTCCACAGGTGGCATTGCTCTGACCGCCCTGGGGCTCTCTCACTGGCACAGGTTGAGAGCAATACTTTGTCAAAAGGATCGAAGAAGTAGGACTCACGGTTTAGATGACTGGGCTAAACCCCCATCAGTTAGGATACAAAAACCAAGCACTGAACAATCTCCAAGGATCTGAAGGAGAGGAGCCTGGCGTTACCCTTATTTGTCGGCTTGTGACCAGCTGTCCCATGTTAGCAATCTGACCTTTAACTGAATTGTGCTGGGTCAGCCTTCCCCTCGAAAGGAGGTGAAACCATTCAAGGGCTTCCTCTAAAAGCCACTGTCTCAGTTTCAATCATGCACTCAACTCCAGGTAGGAGCAGGTGTGGCCCTAAGACTTTGCACAACCCTTGCTATGATTTTGGTAGCTTGGCAGAAAGGATCAGGCATAGAGTGAGATAAAATCAGCCTTTGAGAAAGTTGCTAGCTCAGAACAGGAGGGTTTGAGGGAGAGGCCCTAAAGTGTCCTCTTAACTAGAGGATCCTGATATGCAGATGACTTGAAACCCAGGAGATGTCCCTGGTCCCTCTTTCAGGTGCAGAGCAACTCCTCCCCGGCCCCTGCTCGCCCCAGGTCACCTGACCCTGAAACCAGCTGTGCTAGGAAAGCACAGGACAAGCCCCAGGGCACAGCCGAGGATTGGGAAAGAGGAAGAAAACGCTTTGTCTTCACAGGACCGGAAACAGCCTGTACCAAAGCCGCATAGGGTTATGGCGTCCACCTAGCGTTACCTCTGGCTGGGTTGTCTTCCCTTAAGTGAGGGGGCCTTTGCCAGCAGGGACCCTGCTTCCTGTGTCTTGGCTGTCACCTTCCACCTCTTCTTCCTGTCCAGCACCTTCCGGTTTCAGACATCAGGCCTGGGAGGACAGAAGGCTGGACATCTTACAGCAGCCTTCCGAAGCCTGGAGGCTCATGACAACACTGGGGGACGCTGGCCATCATGTCCAGGGGCTCCTCCATGTGTTTTCACATTTTAACAAGCCCTCTCTTTTTCAAACTTTATCAATGAACCACCTATGACAGTGGTTACTTTTAAGCTATTCATTTACATTTCCACTCAACAATGATCCAGCGTCTGTGGTGGGCTTTGATGACATTCTGGGGAGGCAGCAACAGACAAAATCACAAAGCCAAAGGAATGTGCTCCTTCACTGAGCTTATGCTCCAGGGAATGCAAGCCAAATAATAAACAAGAGAAATTATATATATATATATCACATATGTATGTGTGTGTATATCTATATAGCAAGTTAGTATAAGTACTAAGGAAGAAAAATAAGCATGCAGAGGGAATATGAGGAATTGTGGTGGTAAGACATTTTACGTGGGAAGGGCAGGAGGAAACTCATTCTAGTGGCGGGAGTAGCAGGTGCAAAGGCCCTGAGGCACAGAAAATGCCTATTGGTCACCCTAGGGGCTTGAAAATCATGGAAAGGAAACTGACTTTTATTCAGAGATGGGAAGTCATCAGACAGTGTCGAGCAGAGTGGTGATATGAGCAGATGGGCATTTCCCAAAATCCCACTGACAGTTTGAGAAGAGACTGCAGGGGAACAGGGTGGGGTGGGGCAGAAGCAGAAAAACTGGTGAGGAAATGATTAAAATAATCCCATGTGAGTCAAGGGCTGCTGGAGTAATGGCAGTGAAGAGAGATGACTTTTTGTCAGTACTGGGGATTTTCACTGAGGTACATCCCCACCTTTTTTTATTCCAAGACAGGTTCTTACTAGGTCACTGAATGCCCGAGACTTAGCTCAAACCTGCAATCCTCCTGCCTCAGCTTCCCAGAGCTCTGGGAATACAGGTGTGTACCACCATGCCGGGCTCGTAACCACTTCTGCTTGACATTCTACTAGATGTGGTAAAACAGGGCAAAAGGGGGAAAATAAATAAATTAATAATTTGAAAAAAGAAAAAGAAAAAGAAATGAAGGCATCCAGACTGGAAAAGAAAAAGTAAAATTATCTCTATTTGCAGTCAATGCGATTACATATAAAAAAGCATATGGAACCCATTACAATGCTAGACCAAATAAGTAGAAGTTCAGTAAGTTTCAGGATCCAAAATCAAAGGTATCTATATATGCCACAATTCCACTTTCAGTAGCAGCAGCCAGAATTTAAAAAGTTGGCAACAGAGTCAAAGGAAGTGGCAGACTTGTACTCCGGAAATTATAGAACAGGACTGAAAGAAATCGAAGGACACCTAGGTGAATGCAGAGATAGCACTCTGGACACTGTGGGCCTTGCAGCCTCAGGCTCTTGTTTGTTTGTTTGTTTGTTTGTTTTTGAGACAGGGTCTCGCTATGTGGTTCAGTCTGGCCTTGAACTCACCATGTAACCCAGGCTGGCCTCAAACTCACAGCAATCCTCCTGCCTCAGCCTCCTGAGTGCTGGGATTACAGGCATGCACCACCAGTCCGGCCCCAGGCTTTTTCGGTTAGCCCAGCTCACCACCCTGGGTCCTGAGCTAGACTTGCTCTGGCTTCTCTGTTAGATAGAATGAGACAATTTCAATGTGTAAGAAGGAAAAGTGCCAGCATCAGGACACACTGAGAACTGGGTGCTTGGTGTTCATGAAAACCAAGGCTCCATCCTCTTCCTCCCTGCAAGCAGCACAGCATGGCTGCGTAAGCCAAGAGCACACAGTGCTTCGGCATCAGGCTCTGTGGTCGGCCGGGCCTGTGCCGGAGGCCAGCTCCTGCCTCTCTGTGCCTTGAGTAGCCTGGTGGGCAGCCCTCAAGTGACAGGACAGCAGCACTATCCCCAGGGCGACTGCAGGGATTGGATGAGATAATACGCACAGAGCACCATGGCTGGCGTATCACAGGGGATTTGTTTCTAAAGCAGGGATACCAGTGTTATCCAAACCCATTCTGAGGCACAGACAAAACTGGCCAGCATCAGCTCGCCTTAAAGGGCAACATACGTGGTTAAAGACATAAAACCTGGAGCCTCATTGGCTGCATTGAAATCTCAATGCTCACTACTTCCTCTCTCTCTCTCTCTCTCTCTCTCTCTCTCTCTCTCTCTCTCCTTTTTTTCCCTTTGGTTCTTGAGATAGGGTCTCACTTATACTGTCCAGGCTGGCCCTGAACTCATGGCAATCCTCCTGCCTCAGCCTCCCAAGTGCTGGGATTACAGGTGCACTCCCCCACCCCCAGCTGCTTACTTTATCTCTTAATGTCATTTCTTAGCATCTCTGTCTTTCAGTGTCATCTGCTTTCAGTGTCATTTCAATGGAAATGTCTCAGTCTGTGCTTGTGACAAACTGTCATCTCTTGCTAAATGACAGAAGTTTATTTCTCATGGCTCTGGAGTCTGTGAAGTCCAAGGCCAAGGGACCTGCAGATTCAGGGACTAGTGAGGGCTCATTTTCCTGGTTCAAAGATGATGCCTGCTTGTCAAGTCCTCACATGGTAGAAAGGAACAAGGCAGCTTTCTGGACCTTCTTATATAAGGGGACAAATCCCACTCATGAGGGCTCTGCTGTTGTGACCTGTCACCTCCCAAACGCCACCTCCTGATACCATCACCTTGGGGGTCAGGTGTCGGTGTATGGCTCTGGGAGGACACAGGTGGTCATACCATAGCAGAGAATAATAATCGTAATGCCTGCCTCTTGGGTTGTCAGGTACAAAATATGTGAAGTCAGTCAACACAAGTCTCCCATCGTGACACCAGAGATGTAGCATCCTTTCTGTGAGATACATGACAAAAATCGCACAACATAGATTATGTGACATAATCATGTAGGTCTACATGTGAGGAAGCATCAGAAGACCCTGAATTAAGGGACACTGTAAAATAACTGGCAGGCACTCCTCCGGAAGGTTGGTG